GTATCCAAATATTTGGTCAAATATATCTAGATGTGGCTGTGAAGGTATTCTCTAATGGATGAGATTAACATCTAAGTCAGCTGACTTTGAGCAATTGCCCTCTATCATGTAGGTAGACTTCATCCAATTAGTTGAAAGCCTTAATAGAAAAAAGATTGATATCCCCCAGGGAAGAGGGAATTCTGCCAGTAGACTGTCTTTGGACTTGAGTTGAAATATCAACTCTTTCTTGGTTCCCCAGCCTGCTGGCCTGCCTTGCAGATTTTGAACTTGCTAGTGCCCACGATTGTGTGAGTCAAATCCTTAAAAAAAAAATTCTCTCTCTTTAAATATATATTTAGCCTCTGGATTCAGCCAAAGCTGATATCAAATACTACTGGATTTTTACTCAAATCATCCTCTTCAGTTGGGTTTCAGTTTCTTGCAACCCAAAGAGACCCTCTCAGGAAGAAGCAGTGAGCTCACACTCAGTGCTCAGTCCATGCCAGGCCCAGTATTCTCCTTTTATAACTGCTTGGGCCTTGAAGGATGCACAGGAAGTTCATGTCAGCTTGGGGAGCGTTCAAAGCCCCCTGGCAGAGTGATCATGTATGTGCAAAGACACAGAGAAATGATGGAGTTTGATATACACAGGAAACTGAAACGTTTAATATGGTCCAAGCAAAGGGAGGCGATTGGCAAAGAGACAGGGCAGGAGAAGTTGTCAGGGGCCAGGTGATGAAGGACTCTGAATGCCACAGAAAAGTTTAGACTTTGTTCTGAGGATAGCGGGGGAGCCATTAAAAGAGTTTCAAGCAGGAGAAAGGTGACCCCATTCAGCCTTAGCTGGCCCACTCCACAGTGTGGAAGACACAATGAAGCTGAGAGAAAATAGAAGCAGGGAGGAATTATTTTCTGGATAGAATTTTTTCCTGATGCTCTTGAAACCAGATTTTGTATGTCATTTCTCATCTACTCAAAGCAGAATAGTACAGTGGTTAATGGATATGGACTCCTGGAGCCATCTTGCCTGGGGTCAATCCTGGCTCTGCCTCTTACTATTTAACCTCAGGCATGTTATTGAAAACCTTGGTGCCTTAGTTTTCTCAGTGAAGACAACAGCATTGCCTCCCTCCTAGTTCATTGTAAGGATTAAATGAGTCTTTACACATTAGAGCTTAGCACAGTGCTTGACATATAGCAAACAACTGGTTCAGATGCTCTCAACTTACAATGGGGTTACATCCTGATAAACCCCTCTATGTTAGTGAGCCTTCTGTTACTGGAATAAAATATCTGAGCTAAGTAATTTTAAAAAGTAATTTAATTTATTTGGGCTCAGTTTGGGAGTCTCTGTTCATGATCAGGTGGACCTACTGCTTTGGGGCCTGTGTGAGGCAGCATATTAAGGCAGGAATGTATTGTGAAGGAAGCTGTCACCCTCAAAGACAAAGCCAAAAAGAGAGGAAGAAACCTATAATCCTCTAAAGACCTAAAAGCTCTCATTAGGTCCCACTTCTTAAAGATTCCACCATCTCCCAATAGCACCAATCTGGGGACTAAATTTTTACATTCAGGCCTTTGGGGGCGTTCCAGATCCCGACTATAACACCATCAAAAGTTGAAAATATTGTAGGCCAAAAATGCACTTAAGACACCTAATGTACTGAACCTCATAACCTAGCAACCCAGTGCTTGGTAGAGAATGGGTCATATCCTCTTGGAATCTTGCAGCTGTGGCTCGCTGCTGCCTCCCAGCATCACTGGAGAGTACTGTACCACATGCATTGCTAGCACGTGGGAAAGGACCAAAATTCAAAGTTTTTGGTTTCCACTGGACACATATCACTTTCACACCAATGTGAGGTTGGATCTCAGTAAGTCTCAGAAGCACCTGTGGTTCACAGCAATCTTATTCTTACCAAGACTGGTGTGTGGACTCCAGGACTGCAAACCCCAGACCTCAGGAGGACAACTCTTGCCTCTATCTAATCCCTGCATCAGGCAGCTCCACCTGCCTCCCCCAGTGGCCCGAGTCTGTCCCTTCTGGTTCTCACAGAATTACAGCCAGCCTGGGCCCCAGGGATCAGGAAGTGTCACTACAGGGACAGGAGAGAACAGGGTTCTCATCTCTGGAAACAGATTCTTATCCAAATCTGAGACTTGAGAAATGGGCTGGAACCGGGTGGGAACAAGCTTCCCAGCCCACGCAGGCCCAAAGGGAGCATCTCAAAAGCAGAGGCCATACACTCAGCCCTTTCACCCGACTGCCAGAGAGAGGTGAGAGGCTTGAAGTCGGCTCTGCAAACCCTGGGGACTGGCGTGGGAAGCAGCTTCAATGAGATGGACAGAATGCCAAAAGTTCAGAGTCAAAGGGCATTCTCGAATTCCTAGCCTCTTAGGTCTGTGTTTCCACTGTGTGGGGCAGTAGAAAGGGCAGCTCTCCCACCAACCTGGGGGACCTGACAAGGCACCCCTCCTTGAACATGGTTTTCCCAAATATCTAGATGGTGAGGGTTAGATTCTAAGGTGGCAACCTAGGGTCATCCTGCAGGCCAGTTTTGATGTGTTGCTAGCCACTGCCTGGTGGCTGGTTAGAGTGCTGGGATAGAGGCAGAGATCCTGCCCTGCACAGGGGGAAACCAACAGCACCTGGACAGTCCTTGGCCTAAACAGGTTTTAGTCCTTCATGCTCAGTCTTGGTCACTGAAGCGGATCCCTAGGTCGGACCCAGCCCCCCTGTGGACTCTGGCCTCAGCCCTGTTTGTTGTGGCCTCTAAAGCAGAGTAAGGAACTGCTTTAGGTCCCTACTTTATACACATTCTCTGGATCTTTCCACTTCTTAACCTGATTAATGTCAATTAGTCTGCTGGGGAGGGCTGCTTTGGGCTCAATATGGGCCAACTTTTTAAAGGGAGTTGATTTCTTTGATGACAATGATGAGGCTCATTGTAGCCCACACACCCTGCCAACCCTAGAGGATCTTATGACTCAGGACTTAACGTCACCCATGTCCCTCTTCTCCTATCAGTCTCCCTTCCTGCTCTATCCAGCAACATACCTTTCCTGCCCTTCTTTAACCAGGGGCTCAAAGCCCTCTTCTTTGTCTCACTCATCAAGTCCTGATAAGCACAGAAGAACTCATTCACTCGGAGGTGTCAAAAAGTAAGAACAGCTGGTACGTGTAAGATTCTAGGCGTCTCAAGGGGAAGGACTAGCAGCAGTATTTGTAGGTCACAAGAGGAGCAGCAGAATATTAATTGTCCTTCCTTTGTGGGGAGCATTGTTCGGCCAGCAGTCTGGAATTTGAGGCATTTGAGGAGGCTCGCCCTGCTCTATATGGTGGAGCCAGAATAACTGGACTGGAATCTCAGTGCCACTTCCTCTTCACCATGTGACCTAGGACAAGTCCCTAAACCTCTTTATACATCAATCTTCTCTTAATAAAATCGAGTTGATGATATTAATGGCGACTACCTCAAGATTACTGAGGGTAGTAACTGAGCTCAGTGCTTAGACCAGTACCTTGCACATGGCCAAGGCTCTCAGGGTGTTGGTTCTCACCATGGGGCTCCTGGGAAGGCTGTGTACTACTCCCAGTCATTGCAGTTGGAGATGGCAGACACAAGAGTACGGCCTAGCACATAGAAGGTGCCAGCAAATATGGCTCCCTCTTTGTATCTTGGCTTAGGAATCACCTCCAGGGCCAAGCCAGGTGCTAGAGAAGAAAACAGAGGGAATTCCTCCACATGGCTGCTGTCTCTGGGAGCCAGTTATTAGGAGGTCACCAGGACTTGGCCTCCGTTGAGGAGATAACTAAGTCTGTGCTCTCTTTTCTGCCCCCACCTTGGAACATTTAATCTCTCCCAGAGAAAACAGAGGGAATTCCTCCACCTGGCTGCTGTCCATGACCACAGCTGATTGGGCCTGGAATTGTCCCTGAACCAAGGACTGCCTCTCAGGTGAACTGGTCCAATTAGACAGTGCCAGGTGGGAGCGGAGCTGTGGCTGGAAAGTTCTCTAGAGTCAGGAAGATGATGGCCATGTTCAAGCTGAGATCTCAGGAAGTGAGAGGTCACCCTGCTCTATACGGTGGAGCCAGAATAACTGAACTGGAATCTCAGCTCTACTTCCTCTTCACTGTGTGACCTAGGACAAGTATCTCAACTTGGCCTAGGAATTGCCAAGATACAAGGAGGGAGCCATACTCGCTGGCACCTACTATGTGTGCCAGGCCAGAATCAGAGGCAGAGATGGAAGGCTGGCTGAGAAGTTGAGAGGCATGAGGAAGCCACCGAGGGTCTGAGAGAGCTGGCCTTCCAGGACACCTTACACCAGAACCACTTTCCATTTCTAATTCTTAGAGACATCATATCTCTGGGCCTCGGATTTCCCTGAGATGACTAGACTTTTACCACCCACTTGTCTCTGGAGTGAGGATCCCTGGTCCTTGTTACCAAGAGGCCTGGCCACTGGATCACCTCTTTCATGTTGGTGGGCCCAATACAGAGCATTGGATCTGACTCTCACTCTTGGGTAAGGGTCCAAACCTTGGCATTTTATTTGACAGCCTTCAATCTGCTGCCTAAATCCATATTCACTCACATAAGCCGGAAAAGAAGTCTGTTTATTTTATTAATGAGCTCAGAGTAAGATTTGCAGTAACAATCCTAGAAGCAATTACAGCAAAAGAGAGAAGAGAGGGATGGTGGAGAGAAGAAACTGAGGAATCGGGTCTGATTAGGACTCGAGGGAGGCACCCCCAGAGCTGGGAGAGACTAAACGTTCCAAGGTGGGGGCAGAAAAGAGGGCACTGAGACCTCCTCCTGAACACTCCCTCCCCTCCACGTTGGCTTTTAGGAGTGTTCCTTGGCCAAGCCTAGTTCCAGGTCAAAGGGATTTGGAGTTCCTGGGTACTGGTGACAAGTTTGGGAATGTCTTCTGGTACATGCCGCAGGTCTCTCAAGACTGGTTGCCGGCTTTATGTTCAGGGGTTGAGTCCAGCACTCACTGTCTTCTAGGGATGAATTTGTTTTCTCTCTCTGGACTTCAGAAGAAAGTCCTGTGGAGGAAGAGGAAACAAACCAGGAAGGTGCAGGTCTTGTGAGTGGCACTCTGCCAAGGGCAAAGCCCCACCCTGGTAGCACGAGGCCTTGCCAATCCCTAGAGGCCCCTCTTGGTGCAACTCCAGGCAGCTACACACCAGCCAAAGTCACAGCACACAGGAGGCCAGGAATAAAGTAGCAGAGACACCAGGGACAGGGGTGGGGGAAGGACCAAGAGGAAGAGGGGAGGGTCTCTTGCTAAGAGTAAGTGACAGAAAATACAGATCACTTAGGTCCCCCCAGATGTCACTGTATAGCAGGCCAGCTGTCTTGGGAACAGGAGGCCCTAATGTTTTTGGAAATTTATAACAGAAAAATCAACAAGTCAGGCTTGGCTTGGCCCCAGACGCTGCTAGCTATGGGTTCGGGTCACCTCCAACACCAGCTTCACAGCCACCTGGCCCAGGGTGGGAAACACATTCCAAGGCTGAGATCTACCTTGTGTTCCACAGTTAGAGCCTGGATCAAGGGAGGGAGATAGCAAAGGACAGTTGGTCTGAGCAGGACTCAGGCCTTTGTAGGGCACAACAGGACACGAGCAACTCTAATCCACCAACCCTGGTTCTTTGGACGAGCCTTAAAGACCTCTCAACAGCCCTGGCTCTGCCCGAGCAGGGAATCCACTCCCTCCATGGGTGAAGCAGGGGTCCCAACAGGACTGCATTCCCAGGAAAGGAGAAACGTTTGGTGAGGACACCTCTGGGAGGAAATTCAGACTGGACTTCGTGGGGTCTCTCCCAGCACAGCACACCTGGCTCCAGGCGCCATCTGTGCCAGCAGGGAGCCATGCTCAATGTTCCATCCTGTTCATTTGGGTGCTGCATGGGTCAGGTCCCAAGGACTGTGTGCATCAGGACACCCAGATCCCACCCAGTGCTCCAGACTAGGTTCTGCACACTCCCTTGAGTCCCACAGAGTTTCAGAGTGACCGACAGCAGACCCCGGAGGCACTTCAGGGGCAGTGTGCTTCATGTCCCCTCCAGATGCCAGTCCAAAGAACCTGCCAGCAGCGTGGGCAGCACATGGCCACTGCACGCAGCATGGACAGATGGGGCCCTGAGGCCACCTATTCACCGTGGGCTCCAGCTGCAGGAGGAACCCGTGTCTGTACACAGGAGTATGGTCTTCAAGGAGCTTTCGGACTGGCTGGGGACTTTCTGCTGCAGAGGAGGGAAGAGAAGAGCTACATGTGCAGAGCAGAGCAGGAAAGAAAAAGGGCTTGGTTACTCCTGGGCAGAGCTCTGCCAGACCTCGCCCTCCACCTTGGTCCTGTCTAAGCCCTGAGCTCCAGAGTTAGGAGCAGCCAGATCCTGATTCCTCCAAGACATAAGAGGGATTCAGGCTTTGCTGAGCAGAGGGAGGCAGCAGGCATGCCCACGACAGGCAAGGCAGGGTGTGTTAGTGACGGGGAGGGAGGTGATGTGATGTGGTGAGGACACAGGTGAGAGGCCACGGAGGCAGAGAGGTAAAAATGCATGCAGAGGCAGGGATAGAGAAGCAGAGAGCAAGCAAAGGAGAGGGCAAGAGAGAGAGGGGAGAGGGGTGATGGGAAAGAGGCAGGTGGGGAGGGAGAAGGATGGGGAAGAAGGAGAGACAGGAAGGACAGAGAAAGGCCCACCCAGATATAGACAGACCGAGGGAATCACAGGGAAGGACAGACTGGGCCAAAGCTCCTTGGAGAGCCCTCAGGATAGAGACAAGAGCCTGTGGTCTTTGCTGTCTGGAGATGCAGCATTTGTGAATATGGTTAGACATAAGAAAGACCTTCCAGAGAGTGAAGGGAATCTTCATCTGATAAGGGAATGGGGGATAAAGTTCTGAGTGGGGAATTAAAAATCCTGAGTGCTAGTCCTGATTTCACTGTGTACTTTTACTTGATCTGAGACCAGCTCTGATGCCACCTGAGGACAGCGACTTCCTTCCAGGGATACTCTAGCCCTGGGCTCTCTGCCTGGTGGCAGATGTGTGTCTGGTATTCTTTCTGGCTGAAGAAGGTGTCCCAGATTGTAGAGGAGGAGGAGAAGGAGCAGGCAGGGGCCAAGGGCGAGCGCACACTTACAGCTCATCGTCGTATTCCTTGGGGGGACAGACGGCAACAACAAGGTCGATCCAGTCCTGTGGGGAGAAGCCGGGCAGCTGTGGGCACGCTCAGGGGTGGGTGGCACATCTGCCCCATGCTCCTTCCCACTCCTGAGTCAGGATCAGCCAACTAGGCCTCTTCCCAGGGGGAAGTGGGGGCGGGTAGGGCTGGAGGTCCTCCTGGTGGGTTTGGCTCCACTGTGGCTTCCGTGCTCTGGAGAAATTTCCAGGCTCTTAGGTTCCCAATCATAGGATGTGCAGGACCCTCAGATGACCCTGTGTCCCCAAGTGCCAACCTGTGGACCAGGGCCAGGCAGCAACCTCAGAATCACTTGAGGGAATTTTTAAAGTGTGTAGACTCATTGGCCTGGCTGCTGATGGTCTGCGGTGGGCCTGGGAAAGCATTTCTAACAAGCTCCCCAGACAAATCAGAGGCACAGACAACTGGGGAACGTTGGGCCTGGCCTTCGAGTTCTCACTCTGAGTCCCCTCAAGCATATCACTGCCATTCTCGGTGTGCCCATCAGTGTCTGTCCTGGGCTTGGGTGCATCCATTGAAGAGTTCTGGAAATTGCACTGGGCCCTGTGCCATGCCATGGCTCCTAGATTGAGCTGGGATCTTTACCTCCCCAGGACCTCCCTCCCTCCCTCCAATCCAGGGTCTACCCTCAAGAATCACAGCAATACTTCTACTCTCTCTTCCCTAATACAACCCTTCAGAAAATCAGTCAGTCATCATGTTACCCGTGAGTCTTCTCTTCTCCACATTCCTTCATGTGGGTCCCAGGCCCATCTGGTCAGCTTCCTCGGCACTGAACTTAATACCTCAGGCTCGGCTGCCTGCATACAGTTGCACGGGTTGTGCATTGCACAACATGAGTGGGCACCATTCACACTATGGTCTGTAGGAGGGTGTCCCCCTCAGATTGTGCATAGCACAGCCTGTGAGAGATCTCATGTGGTGGCCCTGATCCAGTTGGGTGTGTAATGCACACAGAGCAGACTACCACCCAGCCTCTCTTCATCCTGGACCATTTACTATTAATGCTTTCTTTTGATTTCTCGAACTCCCAACTCTTTTGATTCCTATTCAGTGTACACTCAGTGAAGACCGTAAGTCTTTTTCTTGGGAGCATAGCCATGTCCAGAGTTCCAGAATCTGTGTTTGTTCCATTAGCTTTTCGGACTCAAGGTCAGGAATTGATATTTAATTTCCTGAGTCCTATCCTGTCAGATTTAGTTCATTGGCTGGACAGGGGTGTGGACCATGGATACCCGTCCTGTGATGGGGCTCCCCAGCTGTAAGGCCTGGCTTCAGAGACCAGGTCAGAGGCAGGCAGGTGAGGGAGCGGGGAGAGGGCTCATTCTTACCCCGCCCTGATTCCAGGCCTTCTGCAGGGTGGCCTCTGCCTCAGCCAGGGTGTAGTCTGTCACGATCTTGCCATTGATCGCCATGATCTCATCTCCTTTCACAATGCCACCTGCAGGAAGATGAAGCTGATTGGCCAACTGGGCTACATGGGACACGGATTGGGCCAGGACTGGGCAAAGGGAGAGCCACTGTGGGGGCCACAGAAGAGGCTGGGCCCTGGGAACTGAGAGCTCGCGTGGCTCAGAAAGTGCGAGGGTCAACAGCATACTTAGTTACTTGGATACTCAAAGGCATTTCCTCCCTGAGCCTCAACCCTGCTCAGTGGAACTGGGACACCAGTGAGGACACACTGCTACTTGGCTCCTGCACAGGCGGCAGCTACTGCAGAGGAGACACACCTGCATTTCCAGCCGGGTTATTAGACACGAGTTGGTTCTGTGGGTTGGGCCTCCCTGATGTGCAGCCATGCTGGCTGGCTTGACCCTCCCCCTCCCCAGCCTGCCGGTGCTCTTTCCTGCCTGGAGCAGGACTGTTGTGGACTGTTCCATTCCCCTCTCTTTCTTCTCTTCTAGATCTGAAAGGGGGCTTCCCTGACTGCACCCAATTGAAGGCAGCTCCTCCTGCCATTCTCTCGCAGCACCCTGGTCTTTTCCTGCACAGCACACAATCTGTGATCATAATCTGCTTCTTTCCTGTTTGTTGATGGTCCCTCCCATTGTGCTGTCAGCTTCCTGAGGATAGGACTTATCTTTTTTGGTTCACTACTTTATCTTCAGCCCTTCAAGGAATATCTTTCACAAGTAGGAACTCAATTGGATATTTGTTGAATAAATGAATGGTGTTAAAAGATGTTTCTGCATAACCGTCTTGTGATCTTCTAATTTTAGGAGGAACCGATTAGTATCCAAACAGTTTTTATCAGTTATTATCTCGTCAGAGCCTTGACTAGGATCCTGCGCACTGTGGTTCTCTAAGTGGACAGACTGTACAAGGTTTCCCCGACCTCTTGAACTTCCGTTTTTTAGGAAGGTCTCCTAGTCCCGATGTCCACAGAACATCTATCTCTGTGTTATGCTGAGATCATGCAGAGGGAGGCCTTGTGGGCCTGAAGGCCATAGGAACATGGTGTGTTACTGAGATGGCAGCCTTGGTAGCTCGAAACAAGCATGCATTTGGAAACGTCCACCAGCTGCTTGGATGTCCAAAGCAGCATGGGATCAGACTGTAGACAGCAGTTTCCCTCAGACAGAGGGACTAAGGTAAGTGACTTCCACGTTTTCATTTTGTACAAATCCAAGATGGCACCTCAGGGGCAACAGGGCTTTGTAAATTGGGAGTGACAGGAAGAGCCACTATCCTTCCTGGTCCTCTCTCCCTGCCAGATGCAGAGATAGGTGGCCTCCTGAGCCAAGCTGCAGTCCCTCCCTCAATTAGTACAGAAATGAAGACAGAGGAGGCCCCTGCCCAGAGCTGAGGTGAGGGTCACAGCGTGGCTGGGAGAGACCCAAGGCCACTGAGGCCATGATGGCAGGACTGGATTGTGCCCTGGGCTCCCTGTGTGCCCACCCGCCTTGGTGAACACAGCAGTCAGGCTGCCAGCCACTGGGAACCTTTCCCTTCAGTCCCCTGCTTCAGTGGATCCTGTGAAGCAAGAGACAGAGCCTGGGTCCACAGAGGCCTCCCTCATCAGCAGAGGGTGTTTTTTGTTGAAAAGAGAACAATGGCAAAGTAAGATCTGCCTCATGCGAGACATAGGTCCTTTGGCCCTCTCAGAGCAGGTGAGGCTGTGGAAACCTGCAGCAGAGGTGGCACTTTCACTGGCAGTAAAGCCAAATGGCCAGGTGCCTAGACTCAAGTCCTTTTACCTCCACCTTTTACCTGCTCTGTGTCCTTGAAGGAGTACTTGGACCTCTCTGTGCCTCAGTTTCCTAAGCTGCAAAATGAGAATAACAACAACACCTCCCAGGGTGGTGTGAGGATTAAATGGATTAGTCCAAGTGAAACACCCGGACACAGGGCTGGGTGCCCGTCACTCACTCACTTACACTGGCGCATGGTTAGTGCCTGACAGACTGTTGTCACTGAAGGGCAGGTTTGGTTTGGATGGTCTCTCTCCCATTTCCCTGGTGCGGTTCCCTTCTGCTGGAAAGCCCTCTCTCCCTTTCACAGACTGGTCTTGATTCACCTTTCAAGGCTTGGTTCACGACTGCCCTCCCAGGGAGCCTTCCCAGTGTCACCTCCCCCTGGTGGGTAGGGGCCCTTCAGGATCCCACGACCTCCCAGACCCCCTTAGTTCCCTGCCCACCCTTAGCGGACAACACTGTTATTACATCTGGAAATTCTGAGCGTATTTCTGCCACTAGCTTAGAAGGCAGAGTGGCATCTGCTTACGCCGTGTGCCCACTGGCACCATGGCAGGCCCTCGGGACACATCTGAGATTGGATAGATGGCTGCCTGGATAGACCTGGTGCTCTCGAGAATGGTCAGCCTGCCCAAAGCAGGGAACTGTCTGCTTTCCTGGGGGTCTTGTGTAGAGCCATCACACTATGCCCAAATGGGGGGTGACCGGTCCCCACTCACCATGTCGCTCAGCAGCTCCCCCCTCATACACAGCTGAGACAACCACCTTCCCAACTGGGGAATCCACGCCACCTTCCAGGGCCAGGTCTAAGGATCCCTCCTGGTTGGAGGAAAACAAGTCTGAGGGGCCCACGCAGACAATAACCTGTGGGCACTTGGGCACTGAGGAGCCTCTCCACAGAGCCTCAAGAGCAGGAGAAAGCATGGGCCAATGGCAGTGCATGGGGGAGAAAGTGGGCTTGGGACCACCACAGAGGGAAGCAATAGTGAGGATTTGAGAGGTCACCTGGGAGTCACCTTGGGAGCGGCAGTATCAGGGAACCAAGGGGGCAGGAGCAGGAGCAGAGAAGGATGGTAGCTGCCCCACCTCCTCCACGTGCCCACATACCTTCTTGATGCGCAGGAGCCGGACGTCCTTCCCTAGGATCTGCTCTGGGGTGAACTAGGGGGAAAAGAAAGGGAAGCTTTGACTCTACTGAAGGGTGTTGGGGAGCAGGAAGCCTGGAGGACACTGGGCCCCATAGAGTACACAGCAAGGGGAACCTTCCCCATTGGTCTTCAACTGGGGGTCCCCAGCCCTTCGAGGGATGATGGACACATCACACACTCGGCCACACAAGCCCCAGATCCATTCTTCCAGGATAATCGTGAGGACTGGGCAAGAGCAGGCCTCGTAACTACACCAGAGGCTGGTGCACAGTAGTGCTCAGCAAGTGTCACTGTCCCCACTATGCACACACACACACACCCCATACAGAAAGGAGCCCTGATAGGAAAGAGCAGCTGGGGTATCCCCGGGGCTACTCATGTGCCCCACCACATCCTTGGGATCCCAGGGCCCCCAAACCATCATCATCAAACACCCTCAGCTTCACTCAGGGAAGGAGGGTTACCCCTTACCATAGAGTAGGGGTCAAAACCTTCCTCATATTTCCGGAAATCCTGGAAGCAAAGGTACAGCTTTAGTCAACCGAAAAGAGGTCCTTGCAGGTCACTGCAGAAACAAGCTCAGGGCCGAGAAGAAAGAGAGGGAATGGGTGCAAATCCAAGGGTCAGAGGCGGGGAGAGGGTAGGGGCAGAAGTGACCAGGACAGGACTGCAGAGAGGAGGCTGGCAGCCAGAGCCCAGTGCTCAGGGGGCAGGCAGGAAGCTGCAGGAAGCATTTGGAGGAGTGCAGCCCTGTCCCTGTATGGTCTAGGGGGTGGGCATCTGTGGCTGCAGGATACTGGTGATGTCTGGACATCTGGGCAGCAGTGCCTGTCCTGCTGAGTCTCACCTTTGGTCTCAGACCTTTCAGGCCATACCTCATCCCTTCCAAGTCCCCACTTGAGGGCATACCCAGGTCCTGGTGGATGAGAATGGGTGCTTCTCCACCCAGTGCACTAACCCCACAGGAGGGCCAGTCCTGTGCAAGAGGCTGCTCTGACCAGGGAAGCCAGCCACAAGGCGACTGAGGGAGGCAAAGGGGAAGAAGGTGGTGGTAGCGAGATTGCTGGCCTGGTGCCTGGCACTGTTCTTACCGGATCTAGGAAGCGAGAGGCCCCAGGCTGGCCCTTTATCCAGGGGAGGAAGGAAGACACACAGCTCTGTGGCCCTGGCTCAATGAGGTTACTGTGGGGACAGTTGTCCCCAAGATTAGAAACAAGGCAATGGGAGGAAAGGGGCAGAGCCAGAACACACAGCTTCCTCACACAGCAAGTAGAGCCTGAGGCATCGCAGGCCCAAGGGCCAGGATGCTAAGGAGGACAGCAAAGCCAAGATTGGAGCCAAGTAGAGCTTTGTGCGGGTGCCCGCACAGACCACGGGACTGAGCAGAGCCCCCTCAGCACACAGTTCCCTAGATCACACCAAACATCCCCTGGGTCCTGTGGGCAGAGGTTTTTTTGTTTTGTTTTGTTTTGTTTTGGTGGTGGGGAGGGGAGCAAGGATCTCCCCACTCCCCACCAGCATGCAGCAACAAACTCTGGGGACAAGATGAGGGCCAAGTATCAGCAGATGGATCCCTGGGTATCTGCCTACCACCTTTCCTCATGGCCTTCACCTCTTGGGCTCAACCCCAAAGATGTCTTGAACCTAGTTCAGCTCAGAGGACATATCCAGGTTGGCCTGTGTTTTGGGGGACGACAGACCAGGAAGGGATGCAGTAAGCCCACACACGAGAAGGGTCATTCTGCAGGATCTGCACCCATGCTCTTTCACTGAGATGGGGCTGCCTACTTCTGGTTGTTCCTTCTGGAAAGCTGGGAAGTGGTGGTCACCAGCCTCCTCTCCCTGTGACCCTGAAAACCCATCTCAGAGATGGGCCAGAAGGCATGTCTAGTGTGAATTTAGAGGCCCATAAGCCGTGGTGGTTGGTCGGCCCTTAAAGAAGTAGATCAAGCCCTCATTAAACACACAGAGAAACTGAGGCCTGAGAGGAGACATTCGTGCTTAAGATCACCTAATTAGTAGGCAAGGGAAAAAGAGTTTGCTCCAAGCTTGGAGTCTCAGACTAGGGGGACTGTTTCTGTCCTAAACACCAGGCCCTTCAAGGCCTCTTCTGCCATGGCATTGCTTTGAGAGGCTGAGCGACACAGCATTGAAGAGCAGATCGCAGAGCTTGACCTTCTGCTTTCCCATCCAGGGTCAGAGACTGGTTGTGCCATCATGGACACATTTCCAAGTCCCTCTGCCTCTTACCTACAAAAGGAAGACTGTGATAGCCATTACCTCCCAGGGTTGCTGTAAAGATTAAGTGAGTTAATATATGTAATGTATTTAGCAGCTGTGTTCGGCACGGCATGCTTTCCGGGCATTAGCTGATGCCTGTCATTCCCTGGTCCTGGGCTCAGAGCAGCTTTTTTTTGCAGACACTCCCAGTTTGCTCCATGCCTGACATCAAATCAGCTTGTGAGTGGGAGGCTGGAGAAGCCAGGGCTGCCTGCCAGATCTCCTCTATGTTGGGGTCTCTTTCATTGGGGGGTGGGAGAACCAATCCAATGGCTGGCTCTGGATATACCCCCAAGAAGTGGGAAGGTTATGGGGCTGTCTGCCTGACACCACTCAGAGCCCAGCAAGGGCATGCATGTCCCTGTGCTCAGGAGTACCCTGGGCAGATGGAGAGCTGAGATGCCATTTCTTCCTGTGACTGGTTCAGCATCAGGCAGAGTTTGGTGAAGGTGTGACCTTCCAAGAGGGAACAAGACAGGGAAGGTAGCCCCTTTCTTCTCATCTAGGGCTGGAGCAAAGGCCTGTCCTGGCCTCTGTGACCCTCTGAGGGCTTCCTCTGTGCTGCTCCTCTTTGAACAAGCAGCAGCAGACGAGTTAGCACCCAGGGATTCTGTGGCTTTTCTCAGCTGGGGCACAGGCTCTAATACACCCTGGATCCCCATCTGATGAAAGCCTCCTTGACTTCAACTGCAGGCAAGGGGACACAGCTCTGGCCCAAGGATCCCCGGCAGATGGCAGTTGGGGCTGCCTCACAACCAAATGGCACTCTCAGGGAGAAAGAAGTCACAGAGTGGGAGGGATGGGTGGTGGGGAGGACCAGAGCACACGACAGGTATCATTTTTTTACTTGTCTGAATGTTGTCTGATAAACCACCATCCTCTTCAACATCTCCTGTGGCTGCCAGGAAAAAAAAAAAAAAATTCCCCACCAAATGTTACCAATAGGTCTCGTCTGCCCCCTGGTGCCAAGCCCTGGGGCTGCCAGCCTGGGGCTGCCCGGCCAATATTCTTCCCTAGACACAGTCTGACTTTGGGGTGCACCTTATGTCTCCCAATGCAGCAGCTGCTCAGTTGTAGACAAGCAGACAACACCCCTATCATTAATCAGAGACGGTAACATGGACTCATCAGCAGGCCATCCCAACAGTGTGACCTTTGCTCTTTGGGGAGCTGATGGGACAGCTAAATCTCAAAATAAGTGTCTGAGCTGTCCTGCCCTGACATTTGGATAGGGTTTCCTTGAAAGGGAAGTAAAAATTCTGGCTTGGCTTTTTTCCCAGTTGGTGGCTGGCACCTCTGGAGGGTGCACATGAGCCCCAGCTCCCTCAGACTTTGGGCACTGGGGTGGGTAGATCCTCCTACTTTCCCTGGACCACACCCTAGACTCCCTCCCAGACCTAGTGAGGAGTGAAAAGTAAAATGGAGACAGGGAGTGGGTCTGCTTTGGCCAGTCCCCCACCTCAGGGTATCCCAGGCCATGTAACACAGTCCCTGGGGCAGGGACCAGGGAGACTAGATCTTTGCAAGTTTTGGCAAGGTGGGTAAAAGCACAGCTCTGGAGTCTGAAAGATTTGAAGAAAGTAGATCTAGGCTCTGCTTAGGGCAACCGACTTAACCTCTCTAAGCCTTAGTTTTCTCAAGGGTTACAGAAGGTTGATAATCAGAGCCATCCCATCAAGTTGTTGTGATGATTAAATGAGACCACATAGAGCATGGCACATGGAGGGCTCCAACTGTCTTAGTTATTAACAGGCAGGGTGGCAAGCAGGGAACAGGAATTCCACTGAGCAGGCCACCCATGCAGATTCACCTCCTGGCCAACGTGAGGGTTACAAGATGACACCTGATCCTAGTTTGTGTGGCTCCTCACTATTCTCTCTGGGCAGCAGAACCCAGGGGACACGGCTCTGGTTTTCTCTTCTCTAGATATCTTGGAGGGGAACTGAGGGGCTTACCAGGACCTCGGATTTCACAGCTGGCCTGTAGATAAAGTTGTTCTCCTGGTGGACCATGACAGGTTTGGAGATGGTGGATACGCCAGGGCCTCGTGGAGGCTGTGGGCTTGGGCAAAATGTCTACAGGGGTTAGTTTAACAGAGCCCCATGTAAGGTCATGGTGCAGGTGGTAAAGGCTGACCACAGCACTTCTGCACACATGCAAATCCACTCCCATGAACATGCTGAGCAGGCTGGTCCATTCACCATGCAGGAGTGTGATCTTCAGCACAGAGTGGAGAAGTCCTTTGGACACAGAATAGTCTAAGGCCACAGAAACTACTGGGGGTGGTGGTTGTTAAAGAACCAGCCACTTGAGCCAGAATCTGGCTTAAGGGCAGCAGGACCCACTGTCACTCAGAGGACACACTTTCAAGGCCCTCTCTTGCTAGTCATGGGGGACCATCTAGCTTCCCCTCTCTTAAGGGCTATTTCTTCTGGCCACAGTTAAGTCTCTGGACTTCAGCATGAGGCATAGAGCATCCAGATGCCATGGCTAAGGACTTAAGAGTGGCATCCAGGGGATTCTTTGTCCTAAACCACTCAACATCTTGGGCAAGATGTATCTGATCAGGTCAGAACCCTGCCCAGAACACTTCAACTGGTCCTTTGTTGACTTTTCTGCCTTCATTTCCATCTTTACCTGTCACTTCTTCCCAGATTTCTTACTCTGCCTGATTTTTAGCCTCAAATGCCAGGCTTTCCTGCTTCCAGGCCTTTGCATATGCTCTTTTCTCCTGCTTTGTCTGTCCAGGTCTCAGCTCTTATAACACTGTCTTCCTGAAGCCTCTCGATAGTTTCCTTTCATCCCTGCACCTCATCACAGCGCCTGTGCACCCCCCTCTCAACCCTGTAGTGTTCTAGTTGCCTGCTTGTTTGTCTTTCCTAACTGACTGTCTTGGACAGGGACTGCAGCTCCCCGATAGTGGTGGTTCACAATACCTGGCACAGAGTGACATATAGCAGGTGCTCAGTAAACATGTGTTGGCTGAACAAATGACTCAGTGGTGAGGTGGGCATGCCAGGCAGTGGGTCTGGTTCTGAAAACCCTACTCTGGCAGGGGCTGGCATTGTAGGCACATGTGTTAAGCTAAGGCAAGTGTTTGTTTCCACTACCTGAGGCCTGTTGGTGGCTATGCAGATATGTCATCAGTCACACTTCTTGCTGTAGCATTGATGGCACTCATCAGGGGCATGCAAGGAGGAGGATATTGGGCAGGACAGGTGGCATGAGCACCAGAGTGCTGATGGATATGATGAAGCCAAACAGTAAACAAACAGCAATCTCCTGGCTTTCAAGTCAGGGACAGTCCTTCTTCCCCTCTGACCAAGAAGAACATGGCAGGGGCTCAATCAATGACTTCAGAATCAAATTTCTGAGGAATAGTTTCTGCCCATCTGGTGTGGGCCATTTAGACAGAAGGATGTGGCTCTATGTGCCAGATTAGCTCAGCTTCCTGAAAAACAGCTCCTGGCTGGGCTCTGGGGAAGACATCCATGGAACAGACAGACTGCTTCCTCTCTGTGTGAGCTGTGGGCCCAGGACCCCCCAGGAGTCCAGAGGGAGGCCTTCTGGGAGCTGCAGCCTTGCAGTATCTGGCACTTCCTTCACTCCCACCTTCCTTCCTCCAAGCTCTCTTGAATGCTCTGAGCTGCTTACTCTGTTCCTCAGCAGGAACTCAAAAAGGGAGGTTTAATAATAACCACTGGCGAGTTGCTGCTGAGGCTGTCCCCTCACCAGCTGATCCCCACTGCCTTAGCTAGACTCTAGCCATCCCATGGTGACAGAAGCAAGGGATCAAAGCTCTGTGTCTTCCTCAGGGATTGCCTCTTCCAAAATAATCTTTGGATAAAGAACAATTAATATGAAACATATCTTTCTGAAAAGATCACTGTTCAATCTCCTGATGTCCAAGAAAAACATCCCTGTTCTTTTAATAGTAAATTTGGAGATATCTAGGAACTTTCTCATCTTCATTTTTCCTTTAGCTGGATGTTGGCCAGACATCTCTGAGTTTACACTCCGAGCCAGTGCAGTTGACTAGTACCATGGAAAATGGAACTGTAATATCCTAATACCGCACTGGGTTGTGCCATCTCTTCATTTCCAAAGCCTAATACTTCTCTCTCTGATACCCCCCACCCACCTCCCCTTCTTCCAGGGAGTCATTTCACATGTTCAAGGCTTTCTGGGATAAGGTCAAGCAATGACCAGATGTGGCACAGACCTAGCTATTCATTAACATATCTTTTCACTGCAAGTTACCGGCCAACACTAGCCAAGAGTTCAGAGAGAGCAATGAACATTAAATGGATATATTGCTGCACATTCCAAGAGCCCAGCAATCCACCATGCAATTGAGCACCTCAAAATCAGCAGAAACCATACTCATGCAGGATGTCCACACACAGCTTGGGGGTCATTTCCGGAAAGTAGGAGGAGATGGTATTTTGTCCTGTCTCCATTCACAGGAGCCATGAAGAGTGTGGGAAACAGCAGCCCTCCCCACTCTTTCTGTTTCCAAGCATAGCATGCAGAACAGGGGCTGTACCTTCGGGGTGGGTGGGAAGCCCCGTTCAGGGGCAGGGGAGTTGGCAGGTTTTCCACTGTGATTCTTTGCCTCCCAGTCCTCCACTGGAGTGCTGGTGTCCCCAATGCGGAAGGGATGGTTGCCCAGTGCCTCTTCCAGGGCCGAGGGCAGTGGGCGGGTAGGAGTGAGGTCTTGGGTGGGAATGGATGGAGGGGGAGGGATGGGAATGGCAGGTGGAGTGCACTGTGCCCAGGGTGAGGATGAGGCACTCACATGGCCCGATGAGGGAAGCACAGGGGGTGCAGGGACCTTTGAAGGTGGGTTAGAGGGTGGAGGGTGGGGCATCACAGGCAAGGCAGAGGAGGTCTTGGGGGGATAGTAGAACATGTCCAAGGGGATGTCATCCAGGTCAGTGGTGTGGAGGTGCAGTCCACCTGCGAAGCGTCTCAGAGGTGGGGCCAGGGGAGACACAGAAGGCGGGGGAGGCGGGGGCCCTGTGGTCATCTGGGGGTTGCAAGAAGGTTCTATAATTGTCCACATTCACTGTGCTCCACTTCACAATATGCTGAGTACAATGCTCTCCTAATGTGTTTCTCTTGCTATTAGGGATCCCCCCACCCTCCAACCAGAACCAAGGGGTGCCACTTCTCTGCCACCTGGCTGCCCACTGAGCCTATTGGCTGGTTGGGAGTGCCCATGCATGAGAGGCCCAAGTTTTGCCATCTGAGGGTGATAAGTAAAGTGATCAGATAGTTTATTCTCTAAACTGGAACACACTTGAGAGTATAAGAGGCCCTCCTAGTAATTACTGCAGGATGACAGGCCTTCTAGGACCATCTCAGACCAACTGGGACTTAGTGCTCACCTTGGAGACAAGCAGAAATACAGACATGTCCCAAGAGAAGAAGGAGAAGTGGGCTGGTAGGGGTGGGCACTGGGCAGTGAAAAGGTACCAATGTGGCTGGTGACACTTGCCAGGGGCCCTCACACCTCCCGCTGTCCCCAGGGTAGATCTTGCTGAAGGCAACAAGAGGACTCAGTGGAAAGCAGGGATCTGTTACCTCTGAAATCTCATTATCAGCAGAGGAAATCTGCTCAAGGCGTGTCTGACACAGCCTTTCCACCCAATACTGAATCTTTTCTGATTCCTCAAGGTCTTCCCGCTCTGTCTCAGACACCTGGGACCCAGGACCGGCGCCAAAAGAAGAAGACAAAGAGCACAAGTGAATCACGTGGGCAGCAATCGCATACACACACTTCTCTAAAAACCCCAGAACACTGGTGGAGGTGTCACCTATCTGGAAAAAGACTCAGCCTTGTTCTACCTGGTCCCAGAGGAGGTGGAAACAATGGGGAGGAAGGTGCTCAGATGTCAGGTTGACCTAACAGCACCCACAGGCAAATTCACAGGGGGGCTTATGTACTGCATGGGATTAGCTGGACCTCAGGATCCCCATGAACACTGAGGCTCTTGATGTGCCAAGAACAATCCTTTTGTAACCTCCGTGCACATTCCAAGAATCTAACTTTACTCTTTTCCCCCCTCCAGACTGCCTTGTCTTCCGAAGCACAAGTTTAATCTTATTTTTAATTTTCTAGCTAATTTGTTCTGAATGCCAGACCTAATGCACTTCACATTTCCCAGGACTTGTTTGGTTTTATAATCTAATCAGTTTGGCATTCTGATTCATGGAAGCATTAAAGAGAAGCAGAAAGAACAATACCCCCTGTATCCAGGGAGTTAAGCTGACAACTGCACCTAGTAAATAGGAGCTGCTCACTCTGTGCTATTGCTTTGGACATGTCTGCAGGGGACAGCTTTAGACACATTCCTAAATTAAAGAGGTCTAGCCTCAGACATACCTTATGTTGAAGGGAGCAACCTTAGATTCATAGCCTGATTAATTGGGGATACCCTCATACTTAATATCTGCACAAACCTGGGTAGGGAGATTAGATGAACAGAACTTTTGATGGATGAATGGAAGACTAATTGCATATCTACAAATTGGGCAGAGGGTTTAGCCTCAGACTCAGATCCTAAGCAGGGACACTAGCATCATTGCCACACCTAAGAGGGAGAGGTCCAGCCTTAGACTCATACTCTGGTGGAATAGAGTAGAGGGGATAGACTCAAACCTCTAGCCAGGTGCATTAATGACTAGCCTGAGACCTATAATCTGGGCAGAGAGGTTAGCTTCAAACCCATACCAGGAGTTAGTGTCAGACAGTGTTGGGAAGGTGGGATGGTCTCGTTCTCCAGGCTGGGGAGAGAGGAGGCTCTCATCCTTGAAGTCCATCTGGGGGGCACAAGTGCAGCTGGCACCATGACAGCACAATGCAGGGGATAACCAAACTGTCCCAGAGATGCTTGCCTGGCCTACGAGCAGGACACGTACCTCCTGGGCCAGCCGGTTAATCTTTAGTTGCTTTTCCTTCTCCAGCATCTCCTCTTTCTCTTTGTAAAGCTTTTGTTCAAATTCCAATTCCTTCTTATTCTTTCTCAACTCCTGCAGGCTGTCATACTTGGCTTTCTTCTTATCTTTTCCTTTCTGAGCAGATGTGTCATTGTTTATATGACAAGGGCTACAAGGTAGTAGTTGACACCAGCACAGCACAGCAAACAGGGCATCCAGTCCTTGGACAATACTGGGCAAACCCCCTTACCCTCTGCCATGGTGACCCCACCCCAGCTCTGCCCCACTGCACTGGGCATCAGACCTCAGGTTTTTGGACAGGAAGACCACTGCTGTCCTTTACAGAGTGGAAGACACATTCCTTTGCCAGGCAGAAGAATTGGTTTATTAGTTCACTAACTACACTAACTAGTTGTATGACTTTGGCTAAGTTTCTCAACCTCTCTGAGCTTGATTCACCTTAACAGAAATGGGGGTAATACCTGCCCCACAGGCTTTTATTTAGTGCCAGTGAAATAACATCTATGAAAAGGCTTTGTAAACTTCAAAGTGCTGTCTAAATAAAAGGCATTGTATTTATTTCCTAGCATTCATGCCCATGCCTTCCCCAATATCTGAGAAGAAAGGTGGATCATGTTCCGATGCTAAAAGATTCATCCTGGGAGATTCTAGAGAAAATCCAGGAGAGCTGGCAGATCTGCAGAGATCCTCTGTCCTGAACTGGAGGAGGTGGGAGCAGACTTAGATCTGGGGCCCAGAGCCAGGGACACTGGATTTTGCCCTCATGTGTAGGTTCTAGACTTTTCCATCCTGGAGAGGTCAAATCCACGGCTCCCTCTGAGCTGGGCACTTTTGCTGAGGATTAGCTGGGAGCCATAGGGCTAGGAGGTGCAGGTGGGGAAAGGGCCTAACTGCTTTACAGTGTTCACAGAGTTGGTAAGGATTTGGGGAGGGAGATGCAGGGCAAAAAGACCCTGCTAAATTAGACTCTCAGAACCTATTCTCCTGGCTGCTTTTGCCATTGGGTTGCAAGGAAGCCCAAGGGTAAGAAAGGAAGAGAATGAATATTTATGGACTGCCTGTGTGCCATGGGATGTACACTGATTATCTCCAATGTAGGCTTTGTCCCATTCTCTTGATGAAGGCTCTGAGAGGTGAAGTTCCTTGCCTGATATCAGACATCTAGTAAGTGATGGTGCCAGGATTTGGATCAATTTTTCTACTGTGCCTTGATGAGCCAGGGACAAGGAGACAACAGCAGGAGGGAGGGTAAGCCCCTGCCACACGCAGCATGGAGGACAGGAGAGGGGATGCAGAGAAAGCCAACATTCTGGGCAATTTCTGGAACTAGGTGGAAATCCTCTATTCACTGAGCTTATCCCCTATCTCTAAAAAGTGTTCCTGGGGCTGCTCTTGGATTTCTTGAATCATCTTAGTATCTAAGGGCAGGAATGAGGAATTGAGTTTCCCAGCAATGGACATACAGCTTTCATCCATAGCCAGAGGGGTGGTGAGTCATTATGGATCTCTGCAGACTTATACTATCCTCACCCGCAAGCAAAGACAACTCTCAACTCCATGTACAGCCAATATGCTTTGGAAGTGGTCACTTCTGGGACCTGCCTCCAGAGCAGTCTATGAGCCTTTTGATAAAATGCTTCTTTCTTCCTGCTTCTGAGTCCTCCTTGCCCATGCTGTTCACTAAAGTCTTGGCTCAGTTGAGAAATGAATCCCTACCACCATGTTGTAGGTTTGAACAGCAATTCCCCAAGAGGAGCCAGAAACATGCTGCGGTTTGTTAGAATAAAGGCATGGCCTCCCACAGGGACCACCATGATAGGAAAGAATTTCCTATTGATTTGAAAAAAGACCCACCAGTGCTAAGATTGTAGAGCCAGGGCTTCTGAGTGGGACAGGCTGACAGTAAATCGTTTCTGTCCCATCCCCAGTAGAGCAGCTTACAGATGCAGAAGGGCAAGTCTCCCTGCCAGCTCCCCCAACCCCCACCCAGGTAACTTAGTTGTGTGTGAATCTGCTTACTCTGCCAGACTGTGGGCCCTTGCAAGTAAGGGCTCTGCATGACTGACTTAAGCAGTTCTGGTGAAAGGTCTTAGTTGGAACCATGAATACTTCAGGTCCCAACACAGACTCTGTAGGGCTACAGATTGGAGGCTTTGAGCCCCAGAGGGTCTTACTCAGAGCAGGAGCAGAAGTCAACAAATCTTTCTCTTTTCTCATAGGGGGATTTTGTGCATTAATGATCATGGCCATGGATGTCCCCTTGTATTACCTGGGGACCTGGTGTTCTAGCTGAGAGACAAAGCATCTCCCCTGGTTATAGGCAAAATGATGATGGATTTTCAAAGCAGCATGAGGGACATGACTACATTGTCCTTTTAGCTGTCAAATTCATGGCAAATATTACTTTCAGTCAAGGCTGAGAGGAGAGGCAGATGGGGTGATGCGTTCTTGCTTCTACCTAGGAGCAACTGTTCTCTCTTTTGGAAATAAAAATGAAAACCATAGTGCCAGCTGTTTCTGAAATGATAGGACCCATAAATAGTGGAAACCAGCTCTAACTCTCTACCAAGGGCAAATTTCAAGTGACCTGGTTTGTGATGGATGTATGCAAGAGATTCTAGCTCTTTCACATTTCCTAGTTATTAATACCTGGAAAATATTTGACCTGTTTACTTTTATTATTTTTTTCTAGTAGAATTCTGTGTGTGTAGGGCTGGGGATGTGGCTCAAGCTGTAGTGCGCTCGCCTGGCATGCGTGTGGTCCGGGTTCAATCCTCAGCACCACATACAAACAAAGATGTTGTGTCCGCTGAAAACTAAAAAATTAATATTAAAATTCTCTATCTCTCTCTCTCTCTTAAAAAAAAAAAAAGAATTCCGTGTGTGTGTATGTGTGTTGCCCTCTCTAATTGAGTTCTAATAGAGACAGTATGGAGAGAAGATTAGAAACCTAAGCCCTGGAGTCAGGCTGAAAAATAAAGAAGATAATTTTATGAGACTAAGGACCATGGTAGTATGAGAAGACATCTCCAGGGAGCTCTGTACAAAGTTTACTCACTCCTATACATATCATGATCTGGGCTTCTGGGTGAACACATAACTTGTGTCAGCCAGAATATTGCTATCTATAATTTTAATGGGAATGTGTTGGAGAAAGGGGGTAGATTTTCCTGGCACATCTGATATCCCCATTTTACAGGAAGGGAGAAGTTGCAGAGCATCAGTCACCTAGCTGCCAGTGTTTTGGTTTCTGGAGTATTGACTTTTTGCCAGAGAGAGCTGGTAACATCCAATTTAGCTCACTCAGATTTATGTTAATAGGCTGATTTCCAAATACCAAGCCATCTTGAATGTCCAATCTACAGTTATTAACAGCAGCATTTATATAATCAAATGCCAAAGTGATTTAGAAAGACAAAGGACAGGAAAATTTTATGGGGCCTGCAGATACTATAATAAGATTTAAACAGAAAATTAACAGCCCCAGCAACTGGGGAAAAAAATGTATAATCCTGGGTAAATGCAGAGATAGTTCTAGGAGAGAATTGTGATGGGTGCAGTTTCCTGTCCAACCCGAGGCTATGTGGGTAGCCAGTCTGAACCTGGAAAAGTGGCTCTGTGTACACCTACCCTGGTATTTCACTCTGATCCCAGATTCCTGGTCATGGCTTCTGGTTCTATCTGTCAGAACAAAGCAGAAGTCTCCTGGCCCTGCCCTGTGCCCCTGGGAGCTGGTATAGACCCACACGGAGTCTGATGGTCCTTGGTCAAGTCTCATGACAGGTATACCTGCCCCTCATGATGCCTCTGCCCCTCATGATGCCTCTGTCATTTGGTGTCACCCTGACAGAGATGCAGGCAGGGTTAGCCCTCCAAGGGAATGGGTGGATGGCACTGTTCAGAACCGATAGGGAAAGAAAAATTTTAAAGTCCAAACCCCACTGCAAACTGAGGAGCAAACCAGCACGGCACCCAGTCCTGTCCTACCTTCCGGATAGTTGGGAATTTGCCATCGTACCGGTAAAACCACCCAAAAGCTATAAGAACACAGAGAACAAAATGGTGAGACGTGTTTCCACGGGGCCAGAGCATCCATAGGCAGCAGGTGAGAGTTGGGTTTCCAAGGAATGCATGGTTTTGGGGGATGAAGGGCAGCGTTGGCAGATCCAACAGCAAAATCACACTCTCTGTCCATCTTTCAACTTACCTGGCCTCACCTGGGACAAAGCAGGCCCAAGACCACCTGAGAAAAGCCCCCCTCCCTCTCAGACACTGACTCCAGAAGTCAGTGCCAGAAAATCAGCAAGAAAACTTCTTGTGGAAGGATGAACTTTTCCAAATCACAGATATCATCTCCAAACAAAACCCCGTTGAAAGAGAAAAGCCCTCTCTAACTGATGCCTGGTTCTCCATCCAAGAAACATCTCAAGACAAAAGAGAGCCTGGGTCTCTGCCTAGAACTGCAATCAGACAGAACAAAACTGTGTTGTCTCACAGGGGAGGCCAGTCCTCTGCCTTCAGCATTGAAGAGAGGCAGTGGCTGGGTCAATCTGAAAGGCTGGCTCCAGCAGCAATGGGCAGAAGATGTGCCCCCAGAAAAGCAGATTGCCCATCCAAGCCAGATAAGCAGGGTGCAGCCCCTTTCTTCCCCAGGTGACAGCATGAAAGGGCAGCCCCCAAACCTGAGCTCTTAGGGGCTGAGATAAAGGCTTAAATAATTGCCCACCTTTAACCACCTGGAATAGAGCTGGAATAGGCTGTTGAAAGCCCCCTGCTGGACTAGGCACTACCTCCTTAGTTGCTGGATCTGGGAATGAGGAGAGGCCAGAGAGCAGAGAGGGCACTTGAACTTGGGTAGTATTTAAATATTTGCACCAGCAGTTCAGTTGCACTGGCACGTGCTTGATGATTTACCAGTTTGGCCATGTGTTCTGTCCTAAGGTTTTGCTTGGGCCAAGCTGGGGCATGGAGCAGCCTCACAGACCCCAGGGGCCTCTACCATGTGCCAGCCCCTTGGAGTCAGGTGTCTGCACTGCTTCAGGAGGAGGTGGGCAGGGCAAGCAGGGCACAGCCAGGCCAGGGAGTGAAGCGGGGGGCGCAAACCTGCTCTCCCTGCTCCTCTGTGCCTCCATCCAGGTCGTCGGCAGACTCGAGCTCAGGCTCTACTCCCTGATCATCTACCCGGGGAAAAGAGGAAACTGGTGAACCAAGAGGACTCAGGAGGCTGAGAGGCCAGGGGGCTTCCCAGGAGTTGGGGGACCTGTGACCACTTTCTTCCAAGGAAGAAAGGCAGGGGCAAAAGCTCAGGATTCCAGAGCAAAGGCGTCTCACTCTGGATGGTGCATGCAGTACTTTCAACCTTAGTACATTTAGCTTCTCTATCTGTAAAATGGGTGAACAACAGGGGCCTGACACCTGAGAACCATTTTTCAAGGTGCCCAGTTGAAAGTTGGGAAGTGGGTGAGGAAGATGGGAACATCTGAATCTTAAACACATTTGAGGGCAAACACTTGCCGGGGGACAATACATCCTCTGCCTTCTTCTCACTGCCCTTGCCCTGGGGCTCTGGGTACCCTGGGGATGTCTGAGCTGGGTGGGTATTAGGTAGAGGCTGGGGATCCTGAGGAGTGGGGACTTCCCAAAGGTAAACAGGGAATATATAGTTGGGAAGACATCATGTGGACAGAATAAGAAACCATCCATTCCAATTATTTCCAAGCTGGACCCTGGTCTAGAAGGCAGAAAATCAGCAAGAAAACTTCTTGTGGAAGGATGAACTTTGTCATATTTCAAGCTTCCTTGCCCATGGGCTTGTGAAAAGGCTGTATGTTAAGTTTCTTTGCTTTAGGCTAGAATTATATTTACTTAACAGTAGAACACTGATACCTTTGCCAACAAGAGGACTTCTTGATAAAACAGTGGGAAGACAAAGGATTACCAAATAGTTAAGGAAGAAAAAAAAAATAAACTTTCATATCATAGGTCTATTGTGGATGGGGGGTGATTTAAAAAGTCCTTTAGGGTCAGAAGGCTAGAGCTATCCCTTTTAAACTTCCTCATCTCCCAAGGCCCTTCCAGCTCTGGAGTCCTTAATAAAGACAGCACCCCTTCACCACTGCTCTGGCTAAGAAAGGGTCTTTAGGGACCTCTGTGACAGGTTATCATATCTCTGAGGGTTTGGTAGAATGTTAGGGTGCTGCTGGATCATCATAGATAGGTAGGCTGATGCAATTTTCAGAACCTTCTAGGGCAGCTAGTGGGGGGAGCAGTCTGTCCTGCCCACATCCTTACACTGAGGGCCTTCATGTTCTAGGCTAAAGATGTTCCACACTTTTCCCTATTTTTCAAAAATGTAGGTTCACCCCTTGCAGGCACAGAAACCTTAGTCAGGCCTCACCTACTGGCTAATTGGGTCCCAGATTGGTTAAAGGTTGGGTGGGCTGAGGCTGGCTGGCCAACGAGCCATGTTGGGCTTTATCTGTAGCCAATGAGCCCAACAAAACCATGACCATCCCAGCTGCCTTGGAACAGCAGGGAAAGACAGGAATTGAGCTGTTCAGAAGCTCTACTACATTTCCTGACTTATATCCAAGTTAGGATTAAATTGTGGGTACATATGGAGATGGATGGCTGTGGCAGCTGCCCTGGGGGCTGGCAGACTGCGGCCATCAATCCTGTGCTTTGTGGAATGGCCTTGGAATACATGTATCTTAAGCAAAGGCAAAGGTCTTACTCTTTTTATTCAAGAAACTTGATTTGGTTAAAACAATGCTAAACAAATACCTCATTAGTGAAAGGCTTTTATTTTCCATGGTTCCTGAGAGGGTGCACCTTGCTGTGAAGCTGAGACCTAATTTCTAGGAAGGCACTAAATTGACTAGTATTACTTTCATGAGAGGCAATTACAATCAATTTCTCTCTTTTCAAAGCTCCCATTTCACTCATAAGAGCAAATTAGCGGCCCGTTTAAAACAGGGATTATTCACCAGGAATTCAGCTTTGGCCACATCCTCAGCTCGTACTGAATGTCATAGGGGAAGGTGATGACAGCATGCTTTGTCTTTCTGAGAGAACCATGAGATGACACTGTGCTCTGCTGCCAGGAAGGAATTCTGGGAGCTACCTGCTTCAGTCCAAGAGGCCTGTGTTGGCAATGCAGTGTCCCTTTAGGACTCAGATATGATCCAAAGTTGGGACAGAGCTATCTAGACCCCACTACAGAATTCCAGTTGTCTACCACACAACAGAGAGAGGAGCCTTGGTTCTCTAAGTTGGGTCCCTGGGGACAGGGTAGCAGCTGGTGGAGGCCAGGATTGAGAGGTAAGGTAAAAAGGGTAGAGGTAAGAATGGACCAGTGAAGAGGAGATAAAAATTATGGTGGGGATTGAGATCCCAGCATGGTGCAGCCACCAGACCCACATTGACATCTGGGAGGGGTCTCAGAGTCCTCTCCCTGTCTCCATCCCTGGAGTGGTGTGACAGCCACCCATGTGCAGGGATGTAGGTGAAAGAGGCACTTCAGGCAAGCTCCTCCTTCATTTGCCCACCAACCTCGGGCCACCAGAGCTCCTTCCTCTTTCTTGCTGCTGGTTTCATCCCAACCCAGTCTAGAACCAGACAGAAGGGCACCTCACCCCACACACTAAGACAACAATCACACGAGCCAGTTCCTCTTGCACAGCTCGCTCTCCCATCTGCAGCAGCCCAGTGGCCTGTGTGCATGTGTGCTGTAGGGGAGAGCCTGTGAGCTTGTGTGTGGAGCAGGCCCCAGACAAGGAGGCAGACAGATCCCTTCCACCCTAAAACCCTGAAAAATGGCCCCTCACACTCAGCTGCACCACCATGAAGGGAATGAATCTGAGAGAGCCATGGGCAGTTAGTGGAGGGAGGCCAGCATTTCTGTCCATCCCCCCAGCCCCAGGTCCTAGAAGGACCTCTTCCCCTGGCACATGGTACCTACACTTTGGCTTGCGAAGGGGTACTGGGTGCACCTCAGCAGTGATGGTTTTGGGCAAGAGGAGCTGTTCCTTAGAGCCCCAATCTTCTTCCCACTGCTTCTTAAACTTCTCTTCCTCTTCCACGATCCTGAAATTAAACCCCACACCTGTGATTTGAATCAGAACCTTTGCAGGCCTATCTCCTGCCTACCTGAGAACCCTAACCAGCCCGGAGCGGCCTCATGGTTCTAATGTGGTAAGGAAGGCCGGCCCTGGAGCTGATGTTCTGAGTAAACACCTAAGTTCTTGTTGCCCTGGTATAATGGGCTGTACTAGGAGTGTGGAATGGCTACAAATAAAGGAGGAGCTACTAGGGGACAGAGGGCCAGGTAAACTGGGCCTAGAGGTGACCTCTGGCTGGCCACACTCCTGGAAGCACACTCATGAGCACCACATGTGCAGGCACACACAAACCCAAGATACTCACTGTTCCATCTCCTTCCGGTATCTCTCATTTTCCTCTGCTGCCTTCTGGGCAATTTCCTTTCTCCTCCTAAAATAAATGCAGGTAGGCATGTCTGAGTCTATGCAAGAAAAGCTAACTGTTCCTTATAGCTGATTCCTGATTTGAGAAAAGTTTTAAATGTTTTCTGCAGTCTCCCTTCCAAGGATGCTTACACCAGCTTTGATGCTGAGAAAGTTGTCCAACACAAGTCTGTCTACACAACCTCTGCTCCTGGGAGGTTTTGTCTGGCATAGCTAGGCAGATATTCTGTGCCACAGGAGATGACTGGCAGATTCACATGAGGGCCACACTCTATGTGTTCCCCTCCAAACTCTTAGATGGAGTGACTAACAACAAGCAGGACGTGGACTGAGAGAGGGTCCTCTCAGAGGAGGGCCCAGCCAGACCCCAGGCAGGAGTTGCTAACCAAGTGTGGCTTTCCAGGTTAGTTCTTTGATGCTGGAGATGGGGGAAATCCCTTTTCCTTCCTTTTTCAAATACTTATTAAGTGCTGAGAGTATTTCTGCATATGGATTTTGACTGTGGTTTTTCTTTTATGAATTGCTTGCCCCATTTATTTTCTCAGTCCATCATTTTAACCACCTGGTGGGGAGTGGTTAGCACCACAGGTGGGTGACCCTCTGGGGACTGCCAGGTTATTAAGTCAGATTGTCTGGATGTGAATCCCAGCTTGGTCATGTGTGACTTTGGACCCAAGATGCTTAACCCCTCTGAGCCTGAGCTGCCTCACTTATTAAACAGGGCTGGCGTGGGGATTAAATTAAATAACATAAGCAAGGTCCTAATCAGCATCAGCCACATGGTAGGTACTCAACATGTCAGTGCTGCTGGTGGGAGCCTCATTTCCCATAGTCCTGGAGTCTGGAAATCAGGGGCTGTCCTCATCAAGGAGGGAGGAGCCTGGTGGTCTGAGGCAGAGGATTGATATGCTGACCTGCCGCTTAACCTATTTGGTCTGAGGACAGCCCTGGAAGTGGGGATGAAGTCTGTGCAGGAGCAGAGGACAAGAGCCAAAATGGGTGGGGCAAAGGCGGTCTGGGAAGGTGGGGGCCCCCGGATGGGCCACTCACTGGCGCTCCATCTCCTGCTGCTCCTGGAGGATTTTGTTGGACTCCATGGCCAGCCGCTTCTGCATCAGGAGCTCCTGCCGCTGCAGCTCGCGCTGCCGTGCCTCTGCCAGCCGCTCGCGGTCAGTCATGAACAGCTCCCGGCCCTGGTGGGGAAAAAGAGGCCCTTTGTTCAGGCCCCTGGGAAAGCTGTATATCCACAGCCATGGCTTTGGGGGGCCAAGATTGGGTTGCCTTCTCAGTGCTGTGCCTCCCCGTGTATTGCAACTCTGGAGGTCTCTGACCCAGGCTTCTTGCTGGGCAGAAGCCCTTTTTCTCTACCATCAGTGTTTCAGGCCCTTGGCCCTTTCTGGGAGTGTGTGGCAGAGATATGAGGTCATAGGTTATGGGTCAGGGGTCATGGGGCCCCCACCACCTCATTCTGGACTTACAGCTCCAGCTACAATGGAGATGGTCAGGCTGCGGCTACTCTTCAGCACGTTCACAGCCTGTGGGAACAGGAGGTCAGTCATCTGGGGTCTGACAGATAGACCAGGGCAGTCCAGGCAGAGACCACAGACACCATGGTAGTTGGGGTGAGCAGTGGGGTGGGAAGGTGATAAGGCCAGCAGATAAAGACCCTCACATCTTACCTCCTTGTGGTCCAGGTTAGAGAAGTCGATGCCATTGACTTCAACGATCTGGTCTCCTGTCTGAAGGAAAGATGGAGAAGAACTGGTGTGTTACACTCACTCATCTGGAGGAAGGGCTCCTCCATGGTGCCAGGTTTAGGTGCTGAGTCTAAGTGGCTGCTTAACAACTCTTCCCAATGAGTAAAGCAGTCGAAAAATTTTGAGGAGGCCCTGGGAGGGCCTCAAGCCCACCCTGTCACCTCTCCACTCCGTAACTATCATATTGGATATCAAATATTATGCCATTTGGGTCACTCACCTCCAATCCCACCTCTGCAGACAGGGAGCCAGGCTTCACATGGCTGATGAAGATGCCTGGTTTCTGGATTGGGCCACTGGAAATGCTGTGAAAGGTGGGAAATGCAGATGAAGCTCTACCCCCTTTGCTTGTCCCCTGAAGCACTCGCTTGTTTTCAATGTCCTGTCTATCATCCTCTATCTGGGTATTCAGTGTCCAGAATAGAGTTCATCCATGAATTCAGGACCCACAGACTCCATCTCTGTCTCCTTTCCAGCCTGATTTCCACTGTTCCCCTGGGTAACAGGCACAGAAAACTACTTGTAATTCTCCCTACCCTATCCTCACCCAATATACCACATGTGCTGCTTCTTCTCTTTCTAGAACTTTCCTTTCATACCTTATGACTCAAATACTATCTCCTTTAAAATTTTTCAGTAGATCCCTTATTCTATCCCAAGATTGAGCAAGTGCCCCCTCCCATGTGCTCCCAAAACATCTACAGGAAGGATGGCACTTGCTCATTCTTTTCCCTACCCTAGATCTGTGGCACATATCACTAAGTAACTATAGCACTCTTTCCAAGCAAGCTGGATACAGCTTTAGAATCCTTTGCAGAGCCATGCACAGTGGCACATGCCTGTAAATCCCAGAATCTCTGAGGCAGGAGGATTGAGAGTTCAAAGCCAGCCTCAGCAACTTAGGGAGGCCCTAAGAACTTAGTGAGACCCTGACTCTAAATAAAATATTTAAAAAGGGCTGGGGATATGACTTGGTAGTTAAGCACTCCTGGGTTCAATTCTTGGTACTAAAAAAAGAGAAAATACTTTGCAGAACAGTACCCCAGGAAGCCACCTACTAATTGATTAGAGATGGCACAGATAGGAGACCTATTTGCCATCCCTGACGCAGGATGCATCCCCCTCAGAGTCCTTTTCACCCTATGTGGCACCTATGCATTTGGCTTCTATATTGCTATCATCTTCCAGAAAGGAAAGATAATTTTTTATCACTTATAAAATGTTGAATAAATGTGAAGGAATGGAAATAATCAGAATAACATAAATAATAATAACCAACACTTACCAGCCACTTACTACCTGCTAGGCACTAAGCTTAGTACTTTGTTTACTACTTTTGCAAAAACTTTGTAATATAGGTATTATGTTCCCCTGTTTATAGAGGGAAAAACTGAGGCTCTGAGTGGTTAAGTTAAGTGGTTCAGGTTCTGGAGCTTGTGCATGGCAGGGCAGGGCTGGAACTGACCGTGGAGTGACTGTGGCACCTGCATACTTGATACTGACCCCTCGTGTGGCCCAGTGCCTGTTTGAATTCCCTGACTGCCTCTTAAGGAAAGCCATGAGGTAATCTGTGACCAGAGAACTGTGACAGAGATGCCTAGATGGGCAGTGTCCTTTTGCAGTGAGTCAAGGGCCCACTCAAGGACCATGGCTCTGCCTCTGGGCCTCAATTTCCTCATCTGTAAAATGAAAACTGTTGGAGCTGTCCCTCTGGCTCTGGGTGGCTAAGTGGAACTCAGGCAACAAGAAGTGTCGTCACTGATGGACAAGTCACCTCACTGATGGACAAGTATCCTCATATGCAGCAGTGAAGAAGGGAAGAGGCATCAGGAGCTCGCTGGGGTCTCCCTGTAACAACTGAGCCTAGGGCATGCTGCCACCCACCTGCAGCCAAGGCCCCGTGAGCCCACCAGGCTGATGAAGACTTTTTTCTCCTTGTGTGCCCGTGTCCCAGGAGAACCCAGGCTGCCTCGACTGCCCTGGAGGAGGAACAAAAGCAGGTCATTGGGTGTCAATGTACATGCAAATAGACTTTTGAGCTTGTGAGATCTTTAGGGTAAGTACTGCCTAATTTTCACAGGCCAGATGGTCATTCTGCCCCTGGGGTGTGGGTCTGTACACTAGCTAGACCAGCTGAGGGCCCACCACTCCACAGGAGCATTCTGGGTGTCCTGGAGGCCCTAAGATCATGTCCTTAGAGCCAACCCACTCCACCAAAGCGCCATCACAGTGGGTCCTAGCCCTTACCCCAGATTCTGACACAAACTGATCCACATACTGCCATTTGAGGGGCTCCTCAGGAGAGCTGACAAGAGGAAAAAATAGAACAAATGGTTATTAGAGATGATTTAGGGACCAGACCCCGAGTCCATATCTGCCACATTTGCAGCCTCCACTGGCCCAGGAACAGCGTGACCTGGGGGTAGAGGAGTAAGACCCAGGGATGATACCAGGACCTTGGACCCACAAGGAAATAGTGTTATGAGGAGGGTCTCACTCACCTCTTCACAGGGATCAGGCCAATGTCTGTGGGAGAAAAGCACTGGGGTTAGGGCAGCTCCCTGCCCTCTCTGTCCCTGCGGGAGCTGAGTAATCCCATTGTCTGCTCCAGTCCACAGTTACTGAGCCCCACCACCCTCTGGTCTCACTTACGTCTCACTTTGATGGACACAGTCTTCTTGGTTCTTATCAGATTGATGACCTCCTCGTGGGTGCAGGAGGAGATGGAATATCCATTGATCCGGACAATCTCATCCCCCACCTTGGCCACAGAGAGAAGGAATAAGCACCAGGTGGAGGGAGCATCTATCTGGCAGCAGGAAAAGCCCACCACCAGGTGCTCATGGCCAGGCTAAACCTCTATATATGCCTATTCCTTGTCACAACCAACCCACCCCACACCAGACCGAGGGATCCCAGGGCAGGTGGTACTTCCTTTTCCCTCATTTTACAGATGAGGAAACCAAGATGTGGGGGTGAGGAGTTGAGTAGGACTCAGGTCTCTGTCCCCTCACTCTGGCATCCCTTTCACCCCACATGATTGTTATCATTAGGCCTGAGCCCAAAACCCATGGCTCAGGTCCCTCTTCTCAGAGCTTAGGCAAGAGTGGATTGGGAGACATGGGCTTGCGGGGCTAGCTGGGGATACATGCTGACACTGCCCCTGCTGGACACTACTGCTGCCTGTCCAGGCACTCAAGGCCTGAGGATCAGACTGAAGCTTGTTATTGACTAAGCACAGAACTGAAGGGCCCTCAGATATTAGGTGACACCTAGGTCCAGGGAGGTGATATTTTGTCCAAGGTCATGTAGGCAGAAACTGCAAAATAGTAACTGGATCCTGGGTGCTCCCTCTTCAGTCTGAGGCCAATGCATGGCAGCTGGGGGTTTAACTCCAATCACATGTGCTGACCCCTTGGAGACTTGTTAGTACATAGCTGGATGCTATGGGGGCTAAGGGACACATAGCCTCTGAAGGGCCCCACAAGCCAACTCCCACCCTATAGCACTCCTACAGAGTCACCTCTCATTGTTGCCAGGAATGATCCCCTCCCTCTCCAGACGCAGACCCCAGTCTTCTTGGGGGAGGGGAAGTCCTGACAGAGCTATCCAGAGACACAAAAAGGAGGGGCTCAGTAAAGAACTCTCTAGGTTTATGGGGACATCAGATTCAAGGAGAACTGCTGGATTTGCTCCTTATACCTAGTTTTCACAGCAAAACTGCAGGGCAGGAACTTGTGTGTCTGTGAATCAGATGAGGAAATGGAGGCCCAGAGAGGTGCGATAACTTGCTCAAGGTTACCCCATGAGCAAATAAGGTTGTCAGGATCCCAAGTCAGGTGTTCCTGACAGACAACAAGCCTTGTCTCTTGGGTGTCTAGAAGAAGAAAAGAAGGGCAAATGGCCAAGCCTGGCTACTGTTCCCTGCATCTTGTCCTCTCTGGATTCTTGCCACCTGTCAGAGCCTTCGAGTTCCACAGGAAGGCAGAGATTGCTCTGTCCATTATACAGCTGGGACCACAAAGGCACAGAGAATCATTTTCTAGCCCTAGTAGGTACAGCAAGTTGTACAGCACAGGCTGCCTCCGTGCAGGACAGAGACTTAATACAGAATTCCTTTAGGGGGCAAGAGCAGAGGAATGGAGTCCCAGGACTAAGTCCTATCAGAGGATCTGAGCCTCACTGGGGACCCAGACTCATAGGTCAAATCAGCACAGGGTCTTTGGCACAGAACGTGCCTCTCCCCTGTCTTCCAGAATCTTCTCCCAGCTGTCCTCAGGCCTGAGATCTCCTTGGAAACATGAACCCAGGTAGGTCAATGACGCAAGTGTTTTCTCCCAAGCTCCTCTGAGTGAAGTTCCCTTTCTTGTTCCTAAAGGGAACTTGCCCAGGACCTCAGTAGGAATAAAATTCCCACAGGGTTCCTGGCTCAGGTTACAGGATCAACTTCCCTCTCGCTCTCCCTCCACAAAGAACCCTGCAAAAGGGCCTTTGTGCAGGCACCACGAAGATATGAACATCTGAGGGTCCGTGGAACAAAGGAGAGATGAGTCCATCAGCACAAGAAAGGGTGGATAATTCATAAGCCTGAGAAACAGCTGGGAAGGTAAAACCTGAGTTTCATTAAAATGTCCTCTCGTCCCCAAGCATTGGGGCACTGCTGAGAAATGCTCATCTGAGGAGGAGAGCTCGCCCTGGAAAAAAAAGAGGGCCTCAGATGATGCCAAGAGAGGCGCTCATTATGTTTATTTCTCTGACTCTGTTTCTGGGCTGGAAAATGTGCCTCAGAGGAAAGGAATAATGAAGGGGCTGAAATTTCAGACGCCATCAGCGAGCCGTGAGACAGGGATTCAGAACAAAGCCATGTCTGTCAGCTCCCTATTTCCACCCCCACTCCTCACTCTCTGGTACCATTAGCGCTGGAGCCCCCCGAAGCCCCTGGCTTGGCCTCTGGGATTGGGATTTCGATAACAAACACTCTGGAAGCTCTGGGAGGTGGGGAGAGCCTCCTTTACCTGAATAGACAAAAACACAGCTCCAGGCTCCGGGAGGAGTGAGACCTGCATGTCTGCCCTGCTCTGCTCAGACATGGAGGTGCAGGGACCATGGTGGAGAGGCACCCCGAGGTGTTAAAGGGAGATCTCTGGGTTGACCTTAGGAGACCCAGGTTCTAATCCTGGCTCTGCCACTTACTGGACTCCAAACCTCTATTAACTATAACTTGGGATGATACATCTAATGCAAACAGTGAGAATCCACGTGAGCTTGTGCCCAGCACATTGTTAATCATTCACTGTCTCCCTCTCTCTGCTTATTTATAAAACACAAAGCACTTCCGTGTCAGGCAGTGTTGTAAGCTTTCTAATACTAATTCATTTTTGTTCCTTGTACAACCTGATGAGGTAGATTGTTTCATCATCACCCCATGTTGCATATGGGGAAACTGAGGCTGGGGGTTAAGTCATTTCACCAAATTCACGCAGCTTAATGAACAGCAAGGCCAAGTTTTGAACGGCAGTTCAGTCTCAGAGTCTATATTCTTAAGCATCATGCTACATTGGGCCTTCTTCCCTGCTGCTAAAGGTGACCTGTGCCAGGCTTCGGGTGCTGAACATAACTATGATCCTCCTTCAGGAAGTAGGGAGGTGGGGGCCAGTGGGGCAGCAGCATCTGGGACGAGGCAGCAGTTAGGTTCAAGAAAACAGATTGCCTGGGACCTGGTTTCTATGGAACTACAGATCCCTGTCAGGGCTCAACAGCCTCTTCCTCTCCCAGAGGCTCAGGAGAGTGGGTGCCTGTACTGCACCACACCGCCTAGCAGATGAAGGGGAGGCAGGAAGTCTGAGCCTCTGGGGCCCTCTTCCCTAGACTCTGCTCACTCACCTGGAGACCAACGCTATCTGCCTGACCTCCTTTGATGAGATGAGAGATGAAAAGCCCACAGCCAAATTCGAGGCCCCCACGCACGCTGAGGCCAAGGCCTTCGGGGTGCAGCCGGTCCAGACGCACCTCCTTCAGCTTCCTGCCATGGTGTGGGGTGGGTTAGTGATGGCCCAGCTCAGCCTGACTGCCAGCACTGCCCAGCCCACTAGTGAGAGACTCAGTTCATCCCAGGGTGACCTCTTCCACCCCTGCCTCTGGGCTAGTGACTCCTTCCATACCTGGAGCGCCGAGGGGTCAGCTGATCATATTCCACCTGATGCTTCAATGGGATCAGTGGCCGGATGGCATCAAACAGTGGCAGGCGGTTGGGCTCATTGATGACCAGCTTCAGGTCTCCAACAAGCACAGTGACGTCCATGGTCCTGCAGAGATATAGGGGATGCTTGGTGCCTTACTCCTGACCAAGACCTCTGACCCAGCCCAGCTCCCCACCCACTGGGCCCAGGCCTAGGAATTAAGAACTCTCTTGAAAGGTCCAGAACTTCTAACTCTGGACCATGAGCTATGGAAGAGCTTGTTTCTCTCACATAAGTGTCACAGGAAATCAGTGAGTTAGGGACTGTTAACCCATTCTGCACATGAAATCAACCAGGATTTCAAACTCGGCTCTGCCTAGTTCTAAAGTTCAGGATCTTCCCACACAGGAAAGTTCTGTGTGAGACGTGATGAGCTGTCTCACCCTCTGATCTTCTAGTTTGATCAGCTGCTAAACTCTAGAAATTCAATATCTTTCTTGTGCCTTCACGTAATTCAGACACCTCTGCATCTCCAGCTGCCTGCTGATTTGCCCACTCTCATGGAATCTTTACTAATATAAGTCATTCCCTTCTCAAAATCCTTCAATGGCTCCCTACTGCCTAGAGGACAAAATCCATTCTACCTGGTGGCCTCAGGGTCCTCCATGACCTGTCTCCTGGAATGTCTCTAGTCTGTGGCTCTGCATGCTCTCAGGGTGCTCCAAGGTCTAACTCACAGATTATCTCTCATTCCCCATCCACATCCTGTGCTTCTGTGCTTCTGAACTTCTGATGATGCTGAGCCCTCATCCTGGGATGCCCTTCCCCAATATTTCACCATCCCAATTTCTTATTCTTCATAGCCTAGCTCAAGTTCTTCTGGCATCTCCCTGACCCCTCAGTTAGAAGTGAAAATTCCTTTCCTTAAATTCCTACTTTTACTTCCACTTACCAATTATTTTATTGTAACTTATGCTAGAGTTCCTGGTGCTTATAACGTCTGTTCACCTCCCCCGACCAGGCCACAAGTGACTCAAGGAAACAAAGTGGATCTTCTTCATCCCAGATCCTGCATGCTACCTAGTAACTTACAGGAGCTTATAAATGTGGGCCAAATGAATCAAAAAGCAGGTAGTAGGTGACCAGAGACATCCAATGCAGTGGCCAGGGCCTGCTTTCATTTCTTCTTCTGTCCTAACAATTGCACTCTATTGAATATATCTGGCTACTTTATATCCTCCCCCATGATACAGTGATCAACTTAAGGGTGGAGACCAGTCTGTTTTTTTCACAAGTGTACCCTTGACCTCTAACAGAGTCAAGAGCAAAGAACTGTATAGTTGCTAAAACAAGTTGCTGAAATGGCAGGTCCATTTGGCTCCCAGGAGCACTGAGCATCTGCTCCCCTAAGTTCCTCTATTTTAGAACAGCTCATCCCAGGGCTCCCTGAGCATACAGTACCCCTGTGGGGATTGGTTCATAGGAGTTGGCCCAGCATACTTACTGGTGGTACATCCGCAGCACATCATAGAGATAGTCCTTCTCTGCATCATTTTCAATTAGAAAATCTACCTGTAAAACCCAAGGGCAGAATTACAGCTCCAGGCCCAGAAAACCTATAGCAGACTCCAGAGAAGAGAGGCCACACCCAAACTATTCCAGCAGTTCAAGAAGAGTTGTGAAGAGAGGAAGGAAGACAGAGGTCAGGGTGACCTCCTGACCCCAATATGTCATACCCACGCAGAACATGCCAGTGTAGGCTTTGCCCATCCCGATGTGGCCAGGCTGAGCCTTGTCCCAAGGTGGAGTGATAATGTGTACACACACAGGACAGGAACCCCCATGTGACAATGACATCCCATGGCAGTGCTGCTGCTCACCCCGTGGCTGCCATCTGTGTCTGGAAGAAGCCCATTGTCTTACCTGATGGTGGCTGTAGTGACGGATAACCGCTTTCAAAAAGGATTTGGGCCACTGGTTCGGAAAGCACATCCCACTGGCGGGAAGCACCCTACTGCTGAATTCTGCGACACCTTTGCTAGGGGACCTCTGCCCTATCCCGTCCTGGCCTAAGCTGGGTTGACCCTGAGTTCTGTCCGCTAGTCAGCCTCCTGGCCACTCCTTCCCCTCTCCAGGTCCCTGTATGTCTCCCCTGGAGGGAGGGTCAGGTTACATCATTTCAACTTTGCTGACGTCAGTGGCTAGGACTCCAAGGTCAGGTTCAGGAGCTGTTTCATTAGCACCCCAATCCCTGGGGAGTCAGTGATCTGGGACCCCCAAATTTCACTCTTTGGGACAGCTCTTTGTTCGTCTATGTGCTATATCCTTGGCTCTCCCTTTAGCACAGGACGGAGTAACAGGGCAATGTGGAAGCTGGAGGGGTCCCTGGTTCTCTCCCTCCAGCCTCCAGGCTCAAGAGCATGATCCCAGGCTTCAGCTCTTCATCTGAGAGTCCCTAGAATAGGGACTGTCTGTCTGTTCCAATACAGAGAGGACTTGTAAGGCCAGACCCTTGGGATTTCTAGTCTGAGCAGGGAATGCAATTTTCTAGTCTTGACCTGGCAGCACTTTTGCCCCTAAAATCAGGCTGGGCATTTCACTGAAGATGAGCCTAACTTAGGAGGAGGCTCTCCATGGACTCATAGCCTGGGTGTCAGAAGCTCCCCAAGCTGCTCCAATCAGGAGAATTTCTGCTCCCTCCCTACCTCACTGCAGAGGCATCCCCCTAGAAGATGGGGATGGCACATGCGCTTGAGTCAGTGCTACTAAATCTTAGGATACTGGGCTGGGCTCTGGCCCACTCTGCCACACAAATGGTCACTCTCAAAAGCCCATCTCTATGAGGACACAAGCCTGGACTATCTCTACCCTCTTTAGCCTCAACTTACATAAGAAGGTTGGGGACTTCACCCAAAAATATCTTGATAAGTTAGATCAAGTCACCCATTACCTTCCTATTGTACTTAAAATCCAAATCCAGACCCCTTGCTGGGCCTTATACAAGCTCTTCCTGGAAGCATGGGCCTCCTTTCAGTTCCTCTCTCATGCCAGACTTTCTTTTGATGTATATTCATTCCCCTGTTCCTTGGATGGCTAGTCTCCTTCTCAGAGAGGTCTTCCCTGCCCACCAACCTAAACAGAACCCACTCCCACCCTGCAAGATGTTTCAATTCCATCATTACATGGATTGCTGCTTTTAATTTAATGTTTGCTGGTTTTGTTTTTATTTTTTGTTTTTGAAATTGTCTGTCTCCTTTGCTTGATAGAAAACCTAATGAAGGGAAGGATGAGTCTTGGTTATTCTAAATTCCTCAGGCTTAACATATGGTTATGTGCTCAATAAATAAGTACTTATTTATTGGGTGAATTTGTCCTCACAGTTCAGGTTGAAGGAGCCATGGGAACAGAAAGGAAAGGGAAATGACCTTTGCAGAGCCCCCATGGTGGCACTGGGCATGTGGGCTTAATTCCTTTGCATATTACACCATCCCTGTGAGCACATATTCTCACACCATTTTGCAGAAAGAACCAGAGAGGTTAAGTAAACTCAATGAAGACCCTATAGTTATTAAGTGGAACTATGATTTGAACCCAAGTCTGACTCCAAAGCTTATGCTCTGCTGCTAGTCATGTCCATTTGGTGTGACTCAGGCATCCCAAGGGGAAATAACCCCCAAAGCTCCTTAAAGTCAACATTTCCAACCTTTTGCTTTTAAGATATCTTGTTTAAAAAAAAGATATTTTATTCCTCTGAACTGTTAAGAAAACTTTTTGATTGGTTCATAATGACAAAGAAACAGAACACATGTCTTTTGTTTTTGGTTTTTGGCACTGTGAATTTAACCCAGGAGCACTTAACCCCTGAGCCACATCCCCAGCCCTTTTAAAAATATTTGATGTAGAGACATGGTCTCGCTAAGTTGCTTTGAGCCTTGCTAAGTTGCTAAGGCTGGCTTTGAACTCATAATCCTCCTGCCTCAGCCCCCCAAGTCACTGGGTTACAGGTGTGTGCCACTGTGACTTGCAGAACACTTTTAGATGATGCTTTGAACCCCAAATGTTCTGTTCTCTCAGGGGAGGATAAAAATCCCACCTGCTTCGGTTGGAGTGAGGACACCCTCACCAAAGGACATCCAGCCTAATTCTAGCCACGGGTGGTGAGAGAAGCAAAGGGCCAGGAGAGGGATCTCTGATTGGCTGAGGCCTTGGGTCTGAAGTCCTTTCACCCCTTTGCAGGAGTGCAGCTAGCGGCAGCATTAGGGTTAAGCAGAGAGGGACTGTCCTCAGAGGACAGCCTTTATTTTGCTCTGGGTAGAAAGCTAAGGTAGAAAACTAAGGGAATTTGCAGCTTTAGAGTCTAGGAATGCTTTTCTGCCTTCTCTAAGCCAAGCACAGAGCACTTGGTGACAGTCTTTATAGAAAAGATCTGGGAGTGGAGGGAGTCCCGGGCTCCTGACCTATGGACAGTCCTTCAATCCTGACTACTGCATTCAGAGGTCCTCACCCAGAAACTACTTTCTACCAGTCTCCTTCTGAGAGCCTCATGTCCATGGGCTCTCACTTGGAAGCTCATCTAAACCCTGTTCCAGTCTGTTCTTGTCTGCTATTACAAGGTCATTACCACCACAGTCCATGTGGGACTCACACTGCAGTTGAGCAAACCTCTTCCTCACACTGGAACCTCCCCAATCTCAGTCAGAGTGTCCCCTCCACCTCCACGGCTAATGTTTCCATTTTTTTTTTTTTAATCTACATACAGACAGGTGTGGAGAGAATCTAAGTGATGAGTCAACAGTAGAGCCCACAAATGAAGGGACAATTTTCCACCCAGAAATATAGAGAAACAGTCCTACTTTGTTCTCTGGAAACACACACTCACATCTCACTCTGCAGACTTTAGAATGTTCCAGAAGAAAAGAAAGAAAGATGGAAATCTTTTAGAAGTCTGAGCATGCTGTAGCAATGCTACCATTAAACTAAGCTTTTAGACTATTTTTTTTAAAAATTACATAGTATTCCTTTCTCCTAGAATTCTGCCTTCCACTTGTCCAGGGATCAGCTTCGACAGACGCTGCTTTGACTACTTGGTACATTACCATGTACTTATAAAGCTCCTGGCACACAGTAGGTCTTTGACATTCATTTCTTCCCTCCTTTCCATCCATGATCTTTCTTTCCCTGCAGTGTCCAACACGGTGTTGTGCCCACAGGCACGTAGCACTCAATGGTGTCTGTGGAATGATGAATGAACTCCACTTGCTCAAGGCTGGGGAACCCTCCTTCTACACTTTTGGCCCTGTGTTGGACAACTGTCTTCCCAGAACTCCTGGAGGCTCTGTCTCCTCTCAGTTCATTTCTAGCTCATTGTAGAAAAGCAGGTCCCAGAGCCATGCAAAATGGAGTGTCTTCCCTCTTCACCATGCCACCTCCTCTAGAGTCTTTCCTGATCGCGCCCAGCACACACTCCTCACCTGCCTTCTAGCCTGTGGCTCATTCGGGCCTGTAAGCTCTGAAGCTCACCTAGACCCTCTGCTTACTGACTATCTGCCATTTCTCAGTAGCTTCTTTAATTGCTTTACTATCTCCTTTAATTATCTTTAATCTCCTAATAATTTCTGGAGGTGGATATTGTTATCCCCTTTTTACACATGAGGAAATAGAGGTTCAGGGAAATGGGAGAGCTAAGACTCCAACCTATGCATGCTGCCTCCAAAACCTCGGCTTTTTACAATCTACTCCATGTCATCCACCTGCCCTATATAACACTTTTGTATGCACCTGTCCACTGTACACATTTATTGAGAACCTGCTATGTGCAAGAGAGCAGTCTTTTTTCTCCAACTAGATTTAGAAAGCTTTTCCTTTCCTTGGATCCCCCTGATGTGGGGCACAGAAGTCCTAAAGGAGCTCACCCTCTGCAAGTGACTGTTGGGGGGGGGTGGTCTCTATTCCACCTTCATTCCCATCTCCAGCCAGCACTAGCATTTTTCTATGGCTGATGCTCAGCTGGCTCTGAGCTATGGGTCTGTGTGGGGTGGGAGGGAGCACCTTCATCTTCACTAGGTTCAGGAGCATTGAAAGCAAAATCTGGGTTTGGCTTTGGGGCCCTTTCAGCCTCATTCCCTAGTATTCCCTCACAGGGACTGGCCCTTCAGGACTGTTGCACAGGCAAGGAGAGAAAGAATAAGTTAAATCATGCATTTTGTTCCACTCCTGTGCCCTCCCTGGTCTGTCATGAGGATTAAGCAGGCAACATATGTAAAGCACTTGGGACAGACTCCAAATGTGTGCTGTGTCTTCTCCTTTGACACTCCCAGCCTCTTGCACCCTGCCCTTTGTCCTCCAGGGCTTTGCCTGGATTCCTGGTGTTTCAGCCAGTGGGAAGCACAAGTAGGAGGTGAACAGGAGGAGGAAGGGACTTAGTCTCTTAGTCCCCTGGCTGGTGGCCTGAGGGACCACCTGAGGTAGTTTCTTCCACCTGAGGTGGTAGCCCCTGCCTGGGCCTCTCTCTGCACCCTGCTCTCCTGTGTTCTGCTGCCCTCCCTCCCCTGGCCCCTGCAGAGTGCTGGCTTCCCATTGCTGTCACCCTGCCTAGTCTGTTCCTGTAGCCCCGCCCTTTCCTACTGTCCTTTCACAAAGCTTGCTTTGGTTTTCCCTTTGGATGAGCTGCCTGCCTCCTGCTGAGCCCTGGCTGGCGGGAGGGCTAGCCATTAGTAGTGGCGGCACCCGCAGCATTTCTTCTTAGCGAATTCTTCCACCACCTTGAAGATTTACCCCAATGTCAGTACTTTGTCCTCACTTCTGCCATGACCTTGTTAAGTTGTTCCGGACTCTCTTTGCCCACTGGTCTTCCACAAACCTGTGCCGTAGCCTAGACACAGGCCTGGGTGTGAGGGTGGAGGGTGGGACAAACAAGCCCCTTCCTCCACTGGGGCTGCCTCATCTGTAAAATGGTCATAAAACTCTCCTTTAATTTAATCCTTCCATGAGAGATTAATGATTGTTTTCATTACTAACTCAAGGAGTTATTAATCATAAAGTTTAAAACAGTGTCTGGAAAGTTGTAAGTCCTATGTGTTTGTTAAATAAAGTTAAATAAAAACAAATGGATACAAATTTCATAACCTCAGCAGCTGGCAGTGAGTGGCCCTCCATACATGTTGATCCAGTCACGTCTTCACAGTGTGTATCCTAGCCAGTACTGGATGTATTAGATTCTTCATTCTCATCATGGCAGGCATATGCTGTTCCCTCTTCCTTTCACATATACCCCCTGGCTCCTCCCCTATTCTTCCGTCTCTGCTCAAACATCACCTCTTCAGAAAAGCCTTCCTTATTACCCTACATAAAGTACCACCTGTTACTCTCTTTTCCCTCATCCCAGTTTATTTTTTAATAGCATTTATCACTACTTGGCATCATAGAATACTTTTATTGCTTTACTTATTCATATTCCCCATTAGGATACACTCTCTAAAAGGGCAGGGCTTTGTTTTGTTCCTTGACGCTTAGAATACTGTCTGGTATGTATAGAAACTCAGTCAAAATTTATTGCTTGTATGAATAAATGAATGATCAGCCACTCCTTGGAGTCAGGAACTCTTTCTGATCTTAATCATCCCACCCCACTCTCAGTTGTCTGGCCTCAGCTAGGGTACACCAGAGCTACTCACAAATGTGTGATTGCTGAAGAGACCATAAATACTTTGTGAGCAAATGAGTAACCAAGTTCCTGCAACGTGCAAGGGCTGTGAGCAGAGAGGCTAATTTGAAAAGATGGTCCATCGTAGTCTCTGATCATGCCCCCTAGCCCATCCTGGCCCAAGGTTGTTACCTATCATTGGGAAGGGCATGTAAGTGCTGCTGGTGGCCTTAGAGAAATGACACACTGATAGGACAATGCCTGGAGCCTGCTAGCTCAAACAATGGGACACTGCGGGCATCAGCCAGGAACCATGTGGTGACTACAGGCCCAGAGCAGCCAATATTGGAGTTCCTATTTAACCCTATCTCAAGAGTAAGCACTACAAACCCCATCTCATAGCTGGTGAAACTAAAGCTCAGAGAGATTAGATGGTTTGCCCAAAGTCTTACTGGCAGTGAGTGACAGGGTTGAGATTTGACTCCAGTTCTGCCTAATTCCAGATAATAAGCCACAGTGCATACTTTTGGAGGACTCCCTAAGTGTCAGGATCTACTGTAACCCCTTACACAGGTGTTGATCTCATTTAGCCCTTATTAGTTAAATGTCATCCTCATTTCACAAATTAGAGACCTGAGACAGAGAGAGGGTAAGTGACTTGCTCCAGGTCACCCAGCGCTATCCTTTACAACATATTACCTTAAATACAACCTCCAAAACTAAAGACTTAGATTTCAAGTAAATTTGCTACAAAACACTAAGGAAAGGCCATCTGAAAAGCAATCAACAGCAAGCTGTAAATTTCACCCAGCATGCCTCTAGGCCCCATGTCTGTCCTCTGCTGCCCCATTCTCTCTCCCTAGTTCTTGGGTGATCCCCAACCTGGGAGGGGAAGGCTGCTGCTGTCTCTGAGGCAGCAGGGCACAAAGTCCAGCCTAGGCCTGCCCAGCGTGGCACCTGCCCTGCCTGCACACGCAGGCACATTAATAGGTAATGCACTTGTGATGAGGAAGGGCAGGGCAGCGGAACACAGGGACCTTAAGCTCTGGGAGTCTTTGGGGCCCAGGGAGGAAGGATTGGGATGAACCCAAAGTTGAGTCAGACACTGGGGACTCTAGAAGTGATTCTCTCAAAGGAGGAAAAGAGTAGGTAACCCGACAGGAAAAAAGGCAAAAGAAAACCTGACATTACTTTCAAGCCAAGGCCAGGAAAGTGAAATTCAAGCCCATGGTGGGGGATGGGAGGTTGAGTTTCTTCAAAGTGGGTTGCCTGAAACCTATACTCACCGAATGTCCTCCACAGCTGAAATTTCTCCCCACACATCTCTTTGCACCAGTGAACACGTCAAATGCTCCCTTGACATTAGCCAGCCCCCCAGCTTCTGCTGAACTTCCAGCCATCTCTTATCCAGGGGAGCAGAATCAGGAATATCTAATGCCTTGTTTTGATGAGACTTCTTCCAGTAAGAGTAGTCCCCTCTGTGCCCCTACCAAACCTCAGTTTCAACACTCAGTGCCCAGCCACGGGTGACTATGAGTGTAGGGGCTTCCTCCCAGCCACATGACTGGCAATTTGAGGACACAGACTGGGTGCTCAAAATATACTTTTTAAATGAATGGCTGCTCACTCCTTGCCCCTCACCTTGGGCACCTCTGGGCCTCTCTATGGGAAGCAGGGAAGGGAGGGAGAATCACTCTGACCTTGCCTCATGAATTTTGCCCCCTCAGATCTGGGAAGGGGTTCAGCTTGGACCAAAGACACTGGCCCTCTGGGGCTCTGGCAGGGCCTGCAGGTAGCTCCAGACACCCTGGCTTAGGCCCTCTTAGAAGGCCTGGTGAGGAGGTCCACCCACTAGGCCCCTGGGATAGCCTTCTCTTGGGGCCTCAGCAGTTCCTGCATAGCTTTGGAAACAGCACTAGAAATGCCATGGGTGGATCCAGCAGCTCCCAGTGAAGGTCTTGGAGCACCAGGGACCACCAGAGAGGTGTCTCACCTGGACATACCTTGGAGAGGAGGCTCTGTCTGAAGGAGCTGACTGGCCAGAGCTGGCTCCTCACACCCTTGGTACCTCCCCTCCTCCCCACTGCAGCTCAGCTGCCTCTCAAGTCCTAAGAAATGCCCCTGGACAGGGAGAGTTTCACAGAGTTGCTCCTAAGTCATCTTTAGAGGTCAAAGGGCAAGAGACATCCAGCTTCCCTTCTTCAATATCACCATGGGCTCCAACAGTCCTAGGCTGGGGGCACTAGGAGGGAGGGGATTTGCCCACTGCAGAGCATCTCAGATAAGTGTCCTGCCTTGGGCCAAGGCTGGAAGGAATCCCAACCTCAGAATTTCCAGTCCTTGGTAGGAGAAAGGAAGTTTTCTGGAGATGGAGCAGTTTACTATCAATGTCCAGGCCCTCATTTTATGGAGATCTCTCTGGCAGCCAGAGGACCCTCGACTCTCCAAGGTCCCAGTCCACCCAGATCCCTCCCCTCCCCCAGACGGGGTTAGAAAAGGGCGGCTAGCACAGGGGATGTCCATCCTCCACCCACCCCTCCGGGACCTCGGGTCCCTGTTGCTTGGGGCACCTCTTGCTGTTCTGACCTTATGCCGGAATTCTCGGGCCACCTTCCGGTCCATGGCTGGGCGGGATCGATCAGTGCAGCTGCACGACGCCTTCCTTCGGTGCCGGGCTACCGGGAGCTGGTTAGAGCAGGCAACCGTGACCGTCGCCGCCTTCTGCGGGGGACTAGGGCGGGGCCTGGAAACGGTGGGGGCGGATCCGGGGCGAAGGAGCCGGCGGGGCGGGGCTGCTGGGAGGCAGAGACACCTGTCCTGTAGCGTCGCCTCCTCCTGAAGCCTCGGAGAAATGGGCCCCCGAGTGTGGGACTGCTGGCCGCGGCCGGTAGTGAGTGCGGCTGGCTTTTCTTTTGAAGAACTTCCCAAACATATTGAGGAAGAGGATCGCGGAGACCTGGACAGGAAATTTGTGATATTTTGCGCCTGCAGAAATGCAGAGTCCCTAGACTCTTCAACTGGTTGGGTAGCAGGTGCAGTAATGGCAGTTTTCTCTGGACACACGGTAGAGGTCCACCTGCCCGGCTGATACAGGGACTCCTGCCGCCCATCTCACTTTGGGTGTGCCTTCCACAATGGTCTCCTCCAGGCACTTTTCCCACCAGAAATCAGTCCTTGATCTGTGGGTAGGACTGGGTCTTATTGTGGCCCACAAAAGTCTAAACCAGTGTTGGGGGGGTGCCCCCACCCACAGACTTCCCCTCCTCTCTTCCTTAAGTGCTCCCCTGGCCCTCAACAAATCCAAAACCAAAATCAACACACACCTTCACTGAAGCATGGAAGGGCCTGGCTGTGACATCTGATTTGTGGCTGACCTTTATCCAGAACGCACACTCTCTGGCCCATTTGACTCAATACAGCCAAAATGTTCCCTGCCTGGGTCAAATTCTGGGCGCAAACAATAATGAAGGAGGCTTGGGACAGAGGAAAGAGGGGGGCAGGAGAGGAGTGATAAGCCCAGGTGAAGTGGGTGGATGGGATAACTATGGAGCTTATGCCTGAACCTAACCCAGATTGGGTGTCTGACTAGTTTGCACATAAGGGGCAAGAGAAAGAAGATGGACAAATGGTTGTAACTTCAGGGACATATAAAGGCACCTCTCAGGATGGGAATATAGCTTAGTGATACTGTGCTTGCCTAGCATGCTCAAGGCCCTGGGGTTGAGCATGGTGGGGGGAAGGGGGGGCGGAGTGGAAGAGCCCCTTCTCAGAGTGCTGTCCCGCTGTGGGCTAAATTATTACCTAGTTTAATCTGTAAATCCCTCCTGGGGAAGAATTGCCTTACAATATTATCCAAGTCTTCACCTTTGTATTAACTAGGTAAGACAGAGATTAAAGAGAGATTAAGATGTATGAGATTTTTCAACGGTCCAGAAAAATGTCACAAAGCATCTTCCCCTCCAACTTACAACACTGATTTGCTGCATATCCTAAATGTGTCATGTGGCTGTTTATTTCTTACATAGAATCCAGGCAGAGTGATAAATGTCCTTACCCAAAAGATGCAGTCTACTGACCACCCAATCTTTTTTTTTTTTTTTTAACATGACCACAACCTCCATGGATTCTCTCCTTCTTTAAATGCTTCCCACTTGGCTTCAAGGACAGCACTGAGTTCTGGTTTTCTCTTCCCCATGCATGTTTCTTCCCAAGCTTCCTCTGAGACCTCCCTGCCTCCACCCATTCCTTACCCAGTTTTTTAATGCCCCATCCTTGACTTTCTCCTCTTCACCTTCCCTTCTATGCCCATGTTTTCAGATAATCTGTGTGATGATAGCCTCAGAGTTCTATTTACCATAATATGACTAGTGTAGGGCATGGCACAAAATAGATGCTCAAAAAGTTTGTTAAATGAATGAATGAATGTGCACATCCAAAATTATACCCCTACCTGGGGGCCTACTGACCAAATCTCCTCCTCCTTGTCCTCTTCCTCCTTCTTATAATTATCTGCAAGGACTGGCATCTAGTTGGTGTTTCTTAACTGTTAGCCATGTGAACAATGCACAACCTCCCAAGGCTTTCAGATTCAGCTTTCTAACACTTAAAAATTAATCTTGGACAGAGAGTGTGCTTTGTTCACAATTTTAAAGTTGTTTTGTCAGTCTGGCCTTGACGGGAGCAATGATATGGCAGTATGAGGCACTAGAACAACCTAGCTCAGTCAACATTTCCTGAGCTAGTGCTGGCATTCAGAGGAAGGACTCATAGTCATTCTCCAAAGATGTTCACAACCCGGATAGGGTGGGGATTTGGGAGCCCAGAGTCTGCTCCTGACTACTGACCACCAAGTGGCATGTTCCAGGCTTCAGTGTGACCCTCTGTAAAAGTAGAAGTTAGGATTGGATTCATTCAGCATCTCTGATTTCTGGTGGAAGCGGCTTCCAGGATCCAGGTTAGGGAGCTGAGGTTGCACAGGTGCCTCTGCTCCCTCAGGGGACTGAATGAGCTGAATCCAGGCTCCCTGGGGAGGGTAGTAGCCACATGCCAAGAAAGGGAGAGTCTGGACCATCTTCAGGCGCCTAACTTATGGTAATGAGCTAGGCTGTCCTGTCACTCTAAATCTGGGAGGAGCCAAGATCTTGGGAGGAGGGTCGGGGAGGGAGCGGGGACACAGGAGCTAGTCAACAAGTAGTGTGGAGTGGAGGTGTGACCCTGCCTTGCTGTGTGAGACATCTCGGAGCCGGACCCAGCGCTCAGGCTCTCCAGTTCCCCTGCGTCCCTATGGGATTCCCGACGTCCATGCTCTGCCTGCTACTGGCTTGCATCTGGAGGCTCCGGGGTGAGCCTCCTCTGGAGTCCCGGCAGGTGCAGCCTGTCGGTGAGAGCAGTGTAGACAGGGGAGGCTAGGGCTGTGGGAACTTTTAGGGAAGCAGATTGTGCAGGTTGGAGAGAGGGTGGAAGGAGAAGGTCTGATCTGAGGGAGGGAGAGGAGGGGGTCCGGAAAGAGGGAAGCTTACCGCAAGAGAAGCAGGTTTATGGCGCAGAGGAGAAAGGGTTTCAAGTGAGACTGGGTAGAAGACTTGAACTGGGGTTCAAGAAGTGGAAAGAAGGAGGGAGATCCTTTCCTAGAAGGGTCTCAGGGAGCTGGAAGAAGGACTTGAGAAGGCTGGAGAGAGAGAGAGAGAGTGAGAGAAAGAGAGACTAAGGGAACGCCACGTGATGCCAGAGAGGCTTCCTAGTAGGTGGGGAAATGGTGGTGGGAAACCTAGACAAAGGGACGCAAAGCCCCCCTTAATCTTACCTCTCCAGCTGCATCAGCCACACCTGGGGCAAGTGCAGAGCTGCCGCCTGAGCCAGCCCGGGGACCCAGGTAAGTAGGCACATGATCTAGTTACCCCACCCACTGTTCCCATCCCTATTCCTGGTCCAGGTGACCCTAGGGGTTAGCACGTAGAATGGGGTGTGCCTGGGGGGGTGAAGGGAGGCATGGTCATCCTAGCCCCTAACCCATGCCAGGCTTGATTCTCATTTAGCCACAGCTACCAGGAGGTGACCCTTGCCGCAGGGAATGCCACAACAGTGATGGGAAGCCAGGTAAGAGGACCTGGGAATAGGGTCTTTATTGGGTAGCGGGTATATTTCTATCTGGATGGGAGGCTGCCAGGGAACTCTGTAGATACAGGAGGGCTGTCTTGGGAATTAGAAGGGAACAGATTCCTGGTATGTGTCTGAAGTGTGAAAATCCATAAAACACTTCTATTCCCATTTTCCTAATCTCTTGGGGCCCTGAATCCAGCTGTGATTTTTTTTTTTTTTTTGGCAGGGGTGGGCACAGCTGAGCTCTGCCTTCCTACAGGTGAAAGCAGGCAGGTGAGGCTCTAGGAGAGTGAAGTTCTCTTTTCCCTGTCTGCATTGCAAAGGCCCTCAACCCTGTCATAGGCCCCTCTCCATATGCTGTACAGTGCCCGGGAATACTGCCTGAGAAGCTAGCAAAAATAGGGCCACCTGCTGGAGGTTGCAGGGAAGGATTGATTGAGACGTAGAACCCTGAGCTACTGTCCTTTGAGTCATGACCATTTCCTTGGTCCATCCTCCTGGATCCTCCTCATTTGTGGGAAAGGTGGTGGGGTTTGTTTTCTCCCTTTACCAAACTTTGTTGGCCTCTGGATCAGGGATTCAGGTTTTCTTTTGAATTCCAGTGTACATTGGTCTCCTTTTTTTTCCTACAACCACAGACATGTTATACATTCAGCCCACCTGTGGTGACATTCCCCAGAGTGGCTTGAGTCACAGCTATGTGCACCACCCCAGTGAGCATCTCTGGGTGACCAGTTGGGCCAGCATGTTGGGGAGCATCATTTATAATAGAAAACAATGAGACCCAGCTATCCGCCTTTTGGAAATAGTTATAAAGGCCTATGACGGGCTGAGGTAGGCGGGGGTGAGCTGGGGTGGGGCACACTTTTTCTATAATGTGGATTTGCTAGGTGTTTTACTTCTCCTTTACCTGCTCTTCCAGGCTCCAAGTTTTAGAATTTTAGTCAGATACAGTTTGAGTTGAAAAGGTGATCTTACAATGAACAGATGAACTCAAGTCTCCTGATTGAGCCAGGCTTGTCCCTCTGCTCACGGGTCTCTAGGAATCTACACATTTTAGTGGGAAAATGATCCTTACCCAGATATCTCATTCCCCGATGGACTTCCATCCTTCCTAGTTTCCTGGCAGCCTCCCTCCCCTTTTCTTATGGAAAGGCACAAACATCTGAACCAGGTGACCTGGTTTCTCACATTATTCAATAGAGCAATAAGTAGTTTGAATGGTCTTACTCTAAGGTGACTAATGGTGTGTGGGTCTGAGCTCCCTGTACCAAGGACACTTCCAGGGCTCCTATCTGGAATGCCCTCATCTGCAAGGAATGAGCCATGATCCCAGACCAATAGCCAACTAACCTTGATTTTAAGACAGTCCAGCTTCTGCAGTGTTCAGGCATTTTCCAGGGAACTGGTGGTTTAGGCCAGCAGCTTCATGAATTTGAATAAGAGAGAGAGAGAAAAGAAGTTCATTATTATTTTCAGAAACCTCAATGCAACTGAAGTTTAGCTTGCCTTTCAGTTATCACTACAATAGGCTTCAGACCACAAGGGTGACTGTCACCAGAAGGAATCACAGATATTTTCCTATCACCTTACACTTGTTGATATCTCAAGATATCA